AGAAGATGCAGTATATATTCAAATCTCCTCCCTCAGCTGAAGTAAGAGTTAAGTGTCCTGTCTGTCTGTCCTGCAGGAGCAGAGGGGGTCCTCTGTGTGTCCCCTTGATCCAGCGGACCTGCTTCAACAGTGTGAGGAGGCCCTCAGGGACAGACCACCTCGCTTCCACAGGAAGTTCGTTCATCTTAATAATGGAGACAGCGCCCCCAGCAGCCCCATTAGAGTGATGCAATGGAACATACTGGCCCAAGGTACATGGCTTTTATATCACATCACACTGAACTGTAGGTTCTGATATACTGACAGATTTGAACTTAATAAATAAAGGATATGATTTTGAATGTGTCAGATCCAGTGAGTTATGATGATACTAGTGTCTTTTAGGTTAATGTTTTTGTTTCTGCAGCTCAGTTCCAGCAGCTTTAATGTAATACTATGTTGCATTCAGTGAATAAGGTCTCAGAACATGACCGTTTCCAAAATGGTAGCGGAGATCCTGATCGAAGACTTGCTAACCTAACAATGAAGCATTATTTGGCTGCTCGTGTTAAAGTGAAACTGAATACTCAAGTCAGATCTCCCCTTTTCTCCTGTCCTTCAGCTCTGGGTGAGGGACTTGACAGTTTTGTCCAGTGTCCCCTGGAGGCCCTCAGCTGGTCCCGCAGGAAGTATCTCATCTTAGAGGAGATCCTCACCTACCGACCTCATATCCTGTGTCTGCAGGAAGTTGACCACTACTATGACACCTTCCAGCCGGTGCTGGCAGGCCTGGGTTACAGCAGCAACTTCTGCCCCAAGCCCTGGTCGCCCTGCTTGGATGTGGAGGGCAACAATGGCCCTGACGGCTGCGCACTGTTCTTCGATCAGTCGCGATTCGAGCTCCTGGATAGTGTGAACATACGACTCTCCGCCATGAGGATTCCAACCAATCAGGTGGGTGAGATTTCACTCTCTTTCATAAAAAGCTACTCAAGGGGGCTACTCTAACACACTGCTCTCTTGCCACAGGTTGCCATATTAACATTGCTACGTTGTCGGAGCACAGCGAGATGTATGTGCGTCGCTGTGACCCACCTGAAAGCCCGCTCTGGCTGGGAGTGGCTCCGCAGCACTCAGGGCTGCGACCTCCTGCGACACCTCCAGAATCTGGTCCAGAAACACGCCGGCGGTCCCGCGGGTGACCCCAGCTCTGACATTCCCCTGCTCATCTGCGGTGATTTCAACGCAATCCCAACTGAGGAGGTGTACCGACACTTTATCACATCGCCTCTCAGTTTGGACTCGGCCTATAAGAAACTCAGCAAAGACGGTTTGACAGAGCCAGAGTACACGACCTGGAAGATTCGGCCTACAGGCGAATGCTGTAGCACTCTGGACTACATCTGGTACAGTCAGGACATGCTGAGAGTGGACGCTGTATTGGACATGCCCACTGAAGAACAGATTGGACCAAACAGGCTTCCGTCCTTTAGCTATCCATCTGACCATCTCTCTCTGGTTTGTGACTTCAGCTTTAAGGAGAAAGAGTGAGGAGAAGGTGACGAATCAGCACGAGAAAGGACATTGAGTCAAGTTTGACTTATGGTTGGCTTCACTCCACGAGTAGGTGCGCGGATGAGACGCCGCGTGCGAGTGAAACAGTGAGGATGATGACAGGAGGCTGACAAAACCAGAGCGGGAAGCAGAAAAGTCAGATAGCTGATGACAGTGAAGTTGCAGAGTTACATGCTGCAACGATGCAGTCTACCTCCTCAAACTCTAACACTGTGCTTGCGTGTTTTCTACATCACCTTACTGTCCTGTACCTTCATCTGTGCTCCAACAATTTGCACAGTGAAACTAATGAATAGGATTTGAACTTTTTTGTTTTTATTAGTTTACAATAACCCTAAGATCAAACTGTGTTTAATTGAAACTGTAGTAAATGTTGTGCTTCACACTGCCAATGTGCTACAGAGTGACTGAGAATAAAGAGTTTCTGCTGTTCATTTGTGTCGTATTGACCACTGTTACTTTTCCAGTATGTGTACATTTCATATTTGCTTTCTCAGACTACTCAGTCATTGGTTTGCTAGTTACTTAGTGGTTTAGGATTGAAAGGGTCGATCCACCCAAATTACAGAAAAAGATTTTCTCTCTTACCACTAGTGGTTGAACTATGCAGGTAGTTTTGGTTTTACCTGTCCAAAGATTTCTGCCTCTACATTGATGCAATGGAAGCAATGATGAAAGCATGTCTTTCCTGAAAAAATAACTGATGAACTTTAGAAGTAAACAGTGTTTTACAAAAGAAATAGTCCGTATAAAACTTTGCAATGTGATTAAAAAAAAAAGTTTTTTTTTAAATTTTATTTATTATTTGGGGGAACTGTCCCTTTGAAGATTACTCACTCCATTCGTCAACATGTTAATAAGTTCAAATGTAATGCAATGTGAATGTATAGCCTATAAACAGCTGTCTGGGTTGTGAGTGTCGACATACTGCTGTCTAAACATTACTATCAGTATAACAGGGAAATCTGCAACATAACCAGCTGCTGCAAGTTACTGACAAAGATTACCACATCACCTCTTACAGTACAAACTGTTAAAGTGCCCATAGAAACAGGAGAAACGGATGGAAACAGGAGAAAGGGGTCTATTAAACTGGAGATGAGACAGACGGCTAGAAGATGCCATTAGGAAGGGAAATGAAGACTATCCTCTGGCCAGGTACTGAAGTCCTTACAGTGTCCACACACACACACACACTCACACACACACACACACACACACACACACACACACACACACACACACACACACACACACGGGTACTATTCATGTTCCTGTTTTCATTGACTGTTTAGACATCACACTGTACAGTGTGTGCTCTTGTTATAACATCATGACAATTGCACCCGTCTTCCACTTGTGTGATTTCCTGATCTTCATCTGACCTGACTAATCAGCATTTCTGTTGACACTCATGTTTTGTGTTGCAGATGTCTATTTTAGATTTTAGAAAACTCTCATGATTTAACACCGGGCCGCAGGCGTTATGTTTTCAGGTGTCGGTCCGTCTGTCCCATTCTTGCAATATCTCACTAACGCCTTAAGGGAATTTCTTCAGCTTTGACACATTCACTTTGACTCAAAGATGAACTGTATGATTTTGGTGGTCAAAGGTCACTGTGACCTCAGAAAACACAATTTTGGTCATAACTCATGAATTTATACTCATTATGACACGATTTAACACAAACATCTAATAGGATAAAATGATGAAATGATGACATTATTATTATATCCAAATGGTCAAAGGTCAACATCACTGTGACATCATAATGTTCTGCAAAAACACCTATTGGCTATTATTCAGTGTTGTAACTCAGGAATGGAAGATCATGACCATATTTCCTGCAACTTGGCTGGTTGGCGGAGGCATGACCTTTTCGGCCACAGTGTACCTGAATATCACTCTGGCAGTTGAAAACATTTGTGTCAGTGCTGAATCGTATCAATCTACTGTCTAATCATGGGGAAGTGATTTATCTTTGTCAAGGAATCAGTGAAACAATAACATTTGTGAACTCAAGCAACTGGATGGTAAAACGTAACCACAGAAAGTCTGCACTCAGAGTTCTCCTGATACATTGAGAAAGTAAATGTTATCACTGATTAAAAATAAGGTTAGTTCCACTCAGATTTGATTAAATAAATGTAGGCCACCATAACCATTTTATCTCGAGTGATTGCTGACATGTACAGGTTTGTAAAAAATAAACTCTGTATGAGAAAAAAGTAACAAAATTACATTTACAAACAAGCCAAATTAAATGAAATCCAAAGCAGTAAATCTTAAACACACATTCACATCAGCTCCAGCATGAAACTTAAAAACCATGATGAAAACGGCCGCTGTCGGGTTTCAAATGTCTTTTTATATTTCAGTAAAATCTACTTGAATACACTTTGAAACAAGAGTACAACAAAATAGAATATACTTCAAATGTTGAATATACAAACAGTTCAGTCTGAACACAAACATTTTTCTCTCTATTGTCCCTCTTTTTAGATTAAAAAAAAAGAAAGAAATGTAGGGCCAAAATGGCACAGACTATTCTGGCAAACTGTTTTAAGGGTGAAGTAAAGTGACCTGGGATCCACAGTGGTTGAATATTATTCACAGGTATTTTGCATAAACTTGCGATTTTCATTGCTTCTCTTTTAAAAATTATAATAACTGCTCAATTACATTGGTGATCTCTGGATTCTTTTTTTCTGAGACATGGCGGCATGCACTGGCCCTGAATCACATTCTTTGCATTTCCATGCAGCCAGACTGTACGGTTGTGAAAAGGAGAGCAAACAAAAAAATACAAGAATTGAGATATAGCCAAGATCTTTTTGTCAAATAAATGTGAAAGTCAAACCTAGAGATTTTTTCTAGAAGCTGGAAGACACACTGCAAGCAATCCGGTCACTGACCAACAACATGTTACTGTTTCCCTATATGAGCATTAACAGCCTGATAAACAGAGGAACTAATGATAAAACAAATATTAGATGCCCTAGTTTCAATAATACTGTGCTTGGTACAAGGTATCAAAACACAAAAACAAATTTCAGCTTACTGTTCAGACAATATATGAAAAAGAAAATTAAAATTAAAAACTAAGGCTGTTCTGTTAACTTTAGCTCCGTAAACTGTATAGTAGAGATATATATAAATATGTACATACACAACCATTGTCTGTCTGATATCGTTCCTTGTTAGAGCTTCTGTCAGCTCCACTCTCTCTCTCTGTCTCTCGCTCTCTATCATGTAGCACCACCCACACTTGATCTGCACAGTGATATAAGTAAAAAAAAATAAGTTGCTGGTTTTAACATCCATAGAGGCAAAATTGGAAACAAATGCCATCTACAAAAGAAGCTTCATTACCCCCCCCCCCCCTTTTTTTTTCTTCTATTTTTGACAGTCCTTCACATTTTGGTTGGTTGGTAATTTATTTGCCTCCTTTTGTAGTGTTTCAGTTTTTTTTATTTTTCATATATATATATATATATATATATATATAAATATATATATATATATATTTTCAAGGTTTTTCCCCAATTTGAGTCAGATGCATTTAGGAGGCATAAATTGTAGTGATCAAGGTTGGTCCCTTTGCCTTTCCCGACAACTCCCTTTGAAGTCTTTGTGTATTCCTATGTTGCAGGGTGCAGTTTGTGCTCCGAACACAACAGTCAGAGGTTTCTGTGTGGTTGTGAAGGAGACCGGCTTAGTTCTGTTCGAGTCCTAGGCAGCAACAGGGAAGATGTGAAGACAGGTTGAGGACTAAAAACAGGCCTTCATGAGTCTTTAAAGTCTCATAGACTGCTGCTGGTTATTACAAGAGTAAAAATGACTGCAGACATTTACAAACTAACTGTCTCTGGCGGAGAGGGAGAAGATGGGTACTGGTAAATGTGTGCAATTCAACACTCGGGCTCTTCTGTCTTTATCGTCACATCAGGCGTTTCCAGTTTGATTACCACCTCAGCGTCCTCTGATGGAACATTTTGGACAGTTTTGGGGTTTGCCTGGTTCTGTTGGACTGCCACCGGCATCTGCACCGCCTGGACCTGGACTCCCATAGCCTTCAGCTTCTCCACTGCAACTCCTGTGGTTGCTGGCGCTCCTATCACCAGCTCTGAGCCATTAATGACGCCGCTGATGATGCGAGGCTGTGCTGTCAACGTCTGATTGGCTGTTGATACTGTGACCACCCCCGCCCCGCTGCCGATGCTTCCCGGCTGCGACACCATCAGAGTTTGTTGCTGCGCCTGCGTTGGGACGGTGAGTCTCATCACTTGTGTTCCTGGGGCAACGCTAACAGGAGCTAGGGCCCGGACGGTCAAGGGGCTCCCGAGGAGGCTGATGCCCCCTGCGGAGGCTCCCACGCCTGGTTTGTTTGTGCCTGTGGAGGTCTGGAGCTGACACTGAGCTAACTGGTGGGCTGGGATTGTGATGATCTTGGCCAGCTGGACGGTGATCTTGTCTCCGTTCTCCGCTGTGGCTGGGACCATTGTGGGGATGGTCTGGATCACAACCTACACAAAAAGAAAAGTTTTTTTTAGAGTTCATAAAAGTTAAAAGACTAAGACTAAAAACCAAGGACATGTGTTTAAATAATCTCCTTAATGGATCTATAAGTACAAGGTTTAAATTAAACACTTTTGAATGGAATTTAATACCGGTTTCAGAATTATATCGTCCAAAATATGAAAGTATGATGGAAGACTAGTAGGGATGATAAGGTCTACAATTATTTATTATAATTTCAATATTTTCAATATTACACAGTAGTATATTAACAATAACTCCAAATGACAGAATTAATCAGCTGAATGTGACCTGGACTTGTAGTGAGCTGTAGTGCAGATACCCTGAAGTAATATGCAAAAGTGCATGTAAGTGAATGAGTTTCCTCATGTACAAACCTTCTGTTGTGAGTTGGTGTTACCGGCAGCCGCACCGATAGCAGGAGTGTTGGTGAGGAGGGTGGTGTGGCCGGCTGCTCCCGTTGTTCCTGCCGGCTGCTGCACAGCAACTGTAGAGATCTTCTGACCCAGTGATGTTGTCATGACTACAGGTACCTGCATAGCCACCCGCACTGTCCTGCAAACGAGAGGTAAGTCAGCAGAGTCAAAAGTTTGTACTTACAGTTGGGGAGAAATGCCAACATTTACATAAGCTCTCCTCATAAGAGACACTCTTTAGTGTCCAAACTGAAGGCCCTGCTTCCTCTGCAGGAGTCTAACCTGGGCCCAGTGGCAGTAGGGATGATGGCTGTGTGAGACTGCTGGGTCTGACTCTCATCTGGCGCTCCAGAAACCGTCACTATCCGTGGAACCCCTGCTGCCACCATCTTGCTCCCAGTAGCTACAGGAGCTTGGACCACGTTGGTTCTGTTCCCGCTCCGCAGGATGTTGGGCTTCTTGGGGGACGAGAGCTCGGTCACCTGGAGCAGCATGTCTGGCGGCGGCGGCACACGCTCATAGGATGCAGCCGTGTCTGAGCCGATCAGATCATCAGCGGCAGTCATGTCCGCCTTGTCGTCGTCGATGATGACGATGTTTTTGGGCATCTCTTTGAACTGATAAACCAGCCGCTGGCCCTCTACTTTGGCAAGGATGCCACGCTGGTAGTAATATCTGAGGAAAAAAGGTTCATCTGAATTATCAGTTGAAAAATGTTGAGGAACAGCTGCAAACAACTGGTGTCATTAAATCATATTTCCATTCTGAATAGTGTCAGCTGGTTTCTGCTCTTTGTCTGTTTGCTTCTCTTCTACTCTCTATTTCCATACAGCCTAATTCCCAATAAAGCTGTTCTCATTTATATGTTGACATGTAAATCCCCATACATATGAATGTAAAACAAAGACTGTGCTGTGATTGCAGCTATATTTACTTGTAAAATGATCACTCAGAAGCAACAGAATATCTTTTTTTTTGTCTCTCACACAGAGCACAGACACAAACTACTGCCCTGCGTCTCTGCCACTCACGGAACAGAGTAGAGACGGAGATGTGTGCCTCTTGCTATAAGGCATTACTGTCAACTCTCCTATACAGAGAGTGGCCAAGGTTTGTCCAAAATGTAGCTGGTTTTGTCTCAAGGTACTTTTTTGAGAAAAACAAAATAATCACTAAAGGAAAAAAAAGTTGGCAACACTACTTGTCTGCACCAATTCATTTTGAAAGAGCAACGCCCATTGGGGAAGTTACACCATTGGCCGGCTGACCAATGGTGTAACTTGATCACTCACTCAGTTTACAGAGCTGACCCTGCTGCTGCAGTCCAACCACCACACACAGATTCCTCACCTGAGTGCCCGTCCCATGGTCTCATAGTTCATGTCTGGCTTGTTCTTGTGTTTGCCCCAAAGCTTGGACACGGCCTTTGAGTCAACCAGTTTGAAGATGCCCTTCTCCCTCTGTGTCCACTTGATGTACCTGGGACAGGTGTTCTTGTCCTGGAGGAGGTCCAGCAAGAACTCCCATAGGTAGGTGGTGCTCCCTGCTAAAAATCAAAGTAACTTTGGTGCACAGCTTTATGCAAAATCATCTTTATCAGAGCATAACACAATAAAGCCAACAGCTGGATCTAATGTATGCACCTATGTCAGTGATGGACAGTAACATTACTACTATGAGATACCTTTTCCTTCTCTTGGTTTCTTCTTGATGCCAAGGTCTGGTGAGCTGTTGGAAAGAGCTGACTGATGTGTCTTTGGCTTCCGTCCAGCTACAAAAGAATATATTTTAAAGAGGAATTTGTCATTCATCAATGTTATTAGTGTCAACTGCTCCGAAACGAATGATTCTCAGTTGAGACTCAACAGTAAAAGTTGGCCACTAGGTGGTGCTCTTGGATTATGTTGTTCAGTGCAATTTAAGGTTGTGGTTTAAGGTCTGTAGCCTGCTTTGTGAGGTACTGTTAATTATAAAACTCACAGATGTTTTCCATTTAAAACTTGGTTTAAAACATTCAAAACATAGTTTTTCCTTTCTCAAAAGTTTTACCTGCCTTCTGGCCACAATATGGTGCTGACACTGTCTACAACTGCATAAAATGAAGGTTTCATAGGCTTTTTCACAGCTTTGAAGTACCAGGAAGTCACTTAATAGATGAATTCTCTGTTGGCAAAAAACACATTGTTTTTGTTTACCTTTCCTCTTCCTGACAGGCCCGTGGTCAGGTTCTGGTTCTGGATCCTCCAACAGAGTGACCATCTCCTCATCTTCCTCTTCGCAGCAGTCCTCTGTCGATATCTCGACCTCTGTCTCTGCAATCATGTCGGGACGCATGGCAGCGTGAAGGAAGTCTGGCGTTGCTACGCATGGTGGGATAAAAGCTTCTGGATGGAGGAGAGAAACAGGGAAGAATTAAAATTTGCATTATAAAGTTTTGATAAAAGTTTGGTTGATGAGAATTTTGACTATGACATTTTGTTAGTACGTAAGGATTAAAGCTCCTTTGCCCAAGTTGTACTATACCGACAAGAATCTAAATTCTTATCGTTTTGGATGATTAATCATGGTATTAAAAAAAAAATTGACTCAAAAATTCCTTGGATTTTCTTTGTCTTATTTATAAAACATTACAAGCATCAGCTTCAGGTTTATAAATACTGTTTTCCTGTTGTATTAGCTTGTGTGTGTTACCTGGACTACGGTCCTCTCTGAGGCTGGACGGTGAATCCATGCGTAGCAAAGCCTCTGCTGCCTCAATGGTCTTGTCAGAGCAGTGGACACTAGTGCCATGGACAGAAGCCTCCACTGAAACACACACACACACACACACACACACACAGAACAATTTAACAAATAGCTTAGGGAAAATAAAGTTTCTGGTTGAGCCCAGTGAAGCCAGTTTCACCAAAACAAAACATAAGTTCCACTTGTGATAAAATGGCACAATTTCTGCATTTACATGTTAATAATCTTAATAACATCATCTTAATAATTTTCGAATAAACACACCAAACAATTCTTTCACACAATGCTGCACAACATGCACCGAGCAACTATATGGTGCCCCCTAGTGAAATATCCAGTTGCTCTAGGACACTGATATGTCATTTTCCGTAGTCAACACATTCACTTTGATCCAGACACAGTATGAAATGATGTAAAGAACAATCTTCACTGTAGGAAATGTCTTTACTCTCTAGCCTCTTTTCATTTGTTGAACTAGCTATCCTGACAGTTTTTTACCCTGCACATTTGCTTTTTGCCTGAAGCTGATACCAGAGTTGCTTACAATACTGAAGACTGACAGGTGAAATATTCACAGAGGGCATGAAAAATCAACTACACCTACAGTTGCCCTCCCATATCTGCATGCACGCAGCTAGAAACCTACATGTAGTCCTTGTTTACTGTCTCACACATGGTAAGATAAGGTGCAAAAAGACAAAACATTGTTTGATTCAAAAATGGAATTCAGCCCATTGTAAAAGAAATGGTGTGTGGGACCCTGAGAAGGAACCCTGGGCACCTGCTGCTGTTGTCAATCACTGGTGGGAAACACGAGATCCTGTTCCATCCTGTCCTATCCTGTCCTGTCCATGTTTGGCTATCTCAACGAGGCAATGGACACTGAACAGGAGAGAGGAGTGGGCTATCTTTAGACTGTTTCACTCATTCAGTCCCGCTCACAAACAAACAGGACATATTGGTAACCATCCCAGCAGAGACCCTATAGCCTGCTGAGCTGCCCTTGCAACCAGGCAGCTGTGCCGTAATAAGACCACCAATAGGTGTGAGGTCAGAGAGCACAGTACATAGTACATATAGAAACTCTGTTCTGTTCATTTCAAGTCTGTCCAACTTGTTAGGACTGTGATTTATACTGAATCATTTAATAATAAACATTACAAACATTGGCAATGTTGTAGTAAATTAGCAATGTGTGTGGGTAAAAGCATTAGAATAGTTTAAGTTAAGAACATGTCTATTATGAACATATACTACTATGTAAAGGCGCCAAGAATAGCAGCAAGTCCGACAAAAAGTAGTGCTGCCTCTCGATGACTTCCGTGTTTACACTCCTCATCCTTTCCCTCCAGTTCTCTTCGAAGAAGCTCACAAATCCTCTTGTCACTCAACAACCGCCTCACCTCCTATTGGCTCATTATTCGCTTTACAGCCCGCCCCCGGTGAAATCTGATTGGACTCTTACTGACGTTTTAAAGCCCCCCGCACACTATTGGACTGACGAGGAAGTCAATCTGAGGCACACCCCACCCACTCACATAAACAATGCTTCCGCCATCGAAATGGGACGAAAATACTTTAAATATTGCGATTAAACAGACGTGGAAACGAAGCGGTGTTTTCACTACACATCGTGCATTCACAAAAACAGTTAACACATGGACAAAATCACGTAAAATGCGTATCTGTAGGTCAGTATGGTCGAAGGCTGAAGCCGCACTTGAAACAAGTACAAGGAAGAAAGCGAGTGAATCAGGCCGTCCCACGCTTCAGTCACACAGAGCACAACACGATAACGGAAACGATCCAACAAATATATCACAACCTTTGACACGGGGAGTATGAGCTATGAGCTGCCCAAAGCTAAAAATCATAAAAATACAATATTACACAATTATCTTTTAGGGGTAATTAACAGTTATTCGGGGACAAGACTATTACTGCAGTTTATTTCTACAAACGGAACAAACTAAAGCCAGCCACGGTTAAATACTAAGACATACGTCAATCATAACACTAACAAAGGTGATATGTGACAGTGTGTACCAGGTTGATGCTAGTAAAAATAAACCCACATGTCCTTCCGACTCAGACAGCGTGGCAAAGACGTAGGAAAGACAACATCTTTACACTTCCTGGTTGTGCAGAGCCGATCTGCAAACCGTTATTCTATATCCCGCTGCTATGTGAAAAATCTGCTCCAACATGCAAAACACACTTCGTGCAGACAACAATCCAACTGTGCAGACTGGCAGGCCCTGCGAAAGTTTTTCCCCTCTTAAACCGGGTTTGATAAACCGTGTAGCATCGCCATGCAGGTTGCTACCAAGGTGATCACTTCCTGATTGCCCTCCATTACTTCAGTACACTCCTCAGCGGACTGAGGGGCAGCGGCCGACGTTAAAAACTCAAGCCGCGCGTTAATGTTAGCTCCCGTGTCGGGATTGCGAGTATATAAAGTTACGTTACCGGCTCTGATGAGTAGATCGAGCTGGTTTGCGTGCCCCCCATGCTGTGAAGTCGCCATGTTTTCCCCTTGCTGCAGATTCACATTGACTTCTCACTGAATTGTATGGGAAGCTACTAGCTCAGATCCCTCCGCCGCTAATGGGAAATCTCGATTTCAACGCGACACGTTACGGCGACCGAAATGTATCCCTCCGCCGCCGACACAGGAAATCCTTCCTTCGCCCTCCCTCGCTTGCGTAGTAACTACGTCAAATAAAGCTGTACCATGATAACTGTTTTCGTAAACACAGGGAACAAATTAATCTAATTACAACACAACAAAGCTGCAGTTTGCACAATTAATTCACGGTTAAAAACTGTAAACAAGACAGTGCATCTAAAGCATTTCATTTCAAAACAATGAACAACACAAATGTTTTGTAAGGACTGTGATTATTTGTGTTCATTGTTCTGCACTGAAACTATGGACTAGGATTACTTCACAGCATGTATTTTTTGCCATGCAACTATTTATTTTCCAAAAGATAATTGCCTGTGAGCAGTATGAACTGTGGAAGGTAAAGTTTAAATGTTAATTAAAAAATGATTGGTCAACACCAACTAAATACTTAAGTCTTCAAAGTCCAAAATATTCTTAAGATTTATAATTTAAGGTCTGAGGCAATATATGTGTGAGTGTCATAAAACATTACCCAAACTCTTACATTTTAGCTGACAACTATACAGGATTATTTCCTACTCAGGTGTAGTACTAATGTGTTGTGGAAATGCTTTTTATGCAGAATGTATGCATTTTCAGACTTTTTTTCAGATGTCTGCACCTGCTCTTTTGTTAGATGTAACTGTCTTTTTGTCTCTCCGGGATTTAACAGACACAAAGTAATGAACTATACGAAAAGACAAAAATTATGCATTTATAGTGAGGCATTTTGAACACTCAAGTTCCTTCTCAACTAATGGTCACAATCCATGGTGGTGGATACCCAGTACCATTACATTTTCAGTCTCCAACATACCAAATCACTTTATCATTGAGCTTGACACAGCACATTTTTCATTTGGAACCAGGCTTAAAAAAAAAAAAAAAATATATATATATATATACTATATATATACTATACTATACTATACAGGTCAGAATTCCTGACATCCAAGCAGACACAATGTGTGAAATGGTCAAAACTATTAATTACATTTTCTGTAATTATGATAAATTCTTGATCCTGCTCAAAGATTCTTCTATTTTAGATAATGTGCAAATGATGATGTAATTTGGGACAGTGTGCATGAATACAGCGTCCATAAGTTAAAAATTATATAGCCTCTGTCTGACTGTTTCAGACTGATGAACACAGCACTGGACTGGACATTAGTCACTATTAAAAAGAGATTAATGGATGAGCACTGAGCTGATTACTGAACTAACACACCTTCCCTGTCCATGAAGTTGTGACTGACCAAAAATATCCACAAGGTGGCAGCACATGGACACAGGAGTCTAAAACCCTCACAGCCTACTTAACCAGATTGTGTCAATGGAGCTGGCAGCAGAATCGTGTGATAAATATGCCCAATGACAGCTCTACCACAATACACAAAAGCAACACTTTCTAAGTTTGAATTAATGAGCCCAACGTGTGGACCTTGGATTTTAGATTCATGTGAACTCACAAAATGTTAAATTCTTTTTGAAACCTTTAAAATAGACTGGAAAACCTTTTCACTAAAAAATACATGCGTCAGCCCAAGAAGCTTTGAAGTCAGGGGTGAGGAGATGGAGAAAGCAGAGATGTACCAAAGAAATAAAGGAGGAGACTGAACAAAGCCAAAATAACAGGTCGTCAACACTGCAGATAAAAGGCACAGGCACACCACAAAAACAGTATTTTAAAAAATATGCTGGACAGTGTAATATGATGAATGAGTCAATTTTGACTTGGATTCAGTACCAGGACAAAGTCGGGGAAAAAATAGTTCCCATTTTTTGTTGATTTGCCAATCTTACTGATGGCTCTGGCAATCACACAGGCTGGAAATATGTAAATGAATAAATCCTTACAACTGTGTTAATGTGAAGCAAATCAGGGCTCATGGTAAACTCAAACTATCAGCTTGTTAGTTAAAGACAATTGGATTAATAAATATATCAATAGTCCAGAATCAATGTGTTGTTTTTGAAACACACAGCCCATAAGTGTGTACAGTACCACAACAGGTGAAATTTCTTTTTCCCAATAATATGAAACCTTAGCGACCTGGTGGAAACGGGAATGATGCATCAACAGTTAGAGCAGGATATATCAAAGAGACATGAGCCAAATTTCTCAGCATGTCGGGTAGAAGGGTGAGTCAGGTTAGTTAAGGACCAAGGTTTGCTCTGGCCATTCCGGGTAGTGGGTTGCAAGTGTAATGTAACAGACACTGCATCATAGTCAGCTGATGCACTACCCTACAGCAGCAAAAGGAAGATTAAGAAGTTAACATTAAATCCAATGTGATAAATACAGGCGTATTTATACCTCACCTGCATCCCCTTCTGTCTCCACCTCCTGCTCATCACCCACTTCCTGCATCAGGTACGCCTCGTCATCGTACACCAACACCTGGGCTGAGTAACTTTGCTCTTCGATCAGGCTCGCACCAGGTACCTCCTCCACTATGACTGCTGGGTAGTCCTCAGCCTCCTCTCTGTCATGTACCTCCTCATAGGCCTCCTCAGCTTCACACTCGCCTTCCACCTCTCCTTCCAGCTCCAGATCCACCTCATACTCTCCCTCCTGCTGGAGAAAGGCAATGAGGGACAGAGGAGAGCAAGACCAGTCAAAAACAAGAGGTTTAATGTAAGCCTTTATCAGGAACGAATGAGTTCAGAAATGACAAAATAAGGCAGTGTTATTACCAGCCAGTTGCTGGTATTGTTTTCACCTTGTGAGTCTGTGAGTATGTGTGTGTCATCAGGGCAAAACATAAACCTGGAGACACCTACTGCAGTGAGAACTACCACAGAGGTGGAGTTGATTTCATGGACAGATTTTCGTCAGTGTGACAGCGTCCACAACTGTGCAAGATGCAGTTAAGAAACTTTCATGGAATAACTACTGAGCACTCTTGTAATAATGTAGCAATGACCAGTAATGAACTTCTGCATGTTGACGGCACCTGGGGTGATCCCATTGCAAGATGGTCTCTAGTTTCTGCTTGTGTCTGTGTCCAACCAACCTGCTGGAGGTCCTCTTCTGCTGTGACATACTCCACCACTGTCCCACCAGTGTCGACCAGAACCACTGAGGTCATGACTCATGCTCCTCGGGGATCACACAACCAGCGATTTGCCACAGCTCTCGTCTGGTGGCCTCCACCTGTGTGGCGAACAACAGCCCCTGGAGAGATGAGAAACACTTGATGAACAAAACTTGCAGCATAATATATGTTTGTCAAAAGTGGGATGAACTGAAGTCGAGCTATTTCTCTGTTCACTGTGATCAAATAGTGAATGCCTCGAAGTTTCAGAGTTGCTAATGTTGCTAATTCTCTTGTGAAAAAAATTTCCCTGTGAGGATCAATCAAGAAATAATTTAACATTTTGGGAAATTTGTTTCTGTACGGACCTCAGCGTACTAACGATCTTCTCATCTAACTCTTGCCAAGAAAACAAGCAAGCATATTTCCCAAAATGCCAAACTATTCCTTTAAAGTATTATGAAGTCCAGATACGTCACTGTCAAACAAACAGAGATTAGCAAAACTTGACTGCTCACAATTAACAACGTGAAGAATTCTTTACAAAATAAAAGAAATCTGACCAACACGTCTCTACACCTTCCTCCATCCGTCCCAAATGTAATCCAAGGCCACATTAAAGGCCAGAGATCTCTTGCATCTCTTTCATGTCTTCCCCTCTGACTTCAGCCTGCAGGAAGTGCCTGTCTGCTATTACAGGAAGAAATGCACTGACAGGAAGCCAAGTCATTCCCTCAAAACACGCACACAGTATCGAGTGGAAGACTGAGGCAGGGTGGACTGGACCCATGGCAACAGTTGCTAAGAACCATGGGCCTTCAGTTCCTGTTCTGTGCTGCTCTGCGTGGTGACAATGGGATATAAGACAAAGGAAAAGCTGGAGCATAAAAGGGACAGGCAGATAAACACACACAGCATGATGCTGTTTTAAACTGCTGCTCAACCTACTCTTACTATGTTCAGTTTTTAAGGGGCTTTCTTGGCCACTAACCTACTGAGATTTTAGTGAGGTATTTGGTGAGTATGCAGGTTTCAAAATGGAGTGAAAAATAATATAACACAACTTAAGGACTCAATAAAATTCAAATAAAATGGTTGTTGAATCATCAAACAAGCATCTGAAACCCCCTCCGCCCACATCTTTGCAACATCAGAAGTGATAGTTCACTAAATCCCAGGAACAGCAGCGTACGTGAGGCTATTCCAGGGAGGGTGGTGTCCTTTTCTGGCCTTTCCAAGACCAAAAACACCAAATCAAAGTGTGTTTCTCTGCTCAAACTTACAATAAGCTACAAATATTAACATGTACAGCTAACTTACTTACTATATTAGTAACCTAACCCAACATTACTTTCAAGGCAAGGGTACCTTTCATACTACATTATTTACAGGGGTACAGATTTTTATTTTTAAGAAAAAGCCTAATTCACAATGGAGCATCCACTGTGCGGGAGCTGATACTTGACTCTTCTTTATCAGAGTTGAGGGTAATGTTAGTGGTTCTGCTCTTTAATGAATTTGAGGAAGGTTTCCAGCAACCGCATTTGAACTCATTATCCGAAAAGCATTAAGTTTACCGAAAAACACTGGTTAGTCCTCATCCTCAAAGCCCTTTTCTTGTTGCATTAAAAGTGAAACATACTCCTTGAATATACACATACTATAAAGCACAAATCTAACCTCTGTCTTCCCTGTCCAAGTACCTTATCTAAGCAAAATGGGGTCATGTTGGAACAAAAATAAGTGTGATCTTATCATACTTTGTAATACTAGAAGCAGCTTCCTGTCTTCTACATGAATCATCTCTTTGGATGCTAATTTTTTTTCATGCTGCTTTGGCCTCAGTCTTTTAGCATGATATCATGTATGCAGCAATCAAGTACACGCCTAAGATCCTTTACAGGGTTTTTGTTTTAAAACAAGTCAAGAAACAATGAAAAGTCAACCAGAGGCAATGTTTCTAACTAACTCATGGAGCTGATATTAACTTAATTAACTAGCTACATCTGATAAAATTTACTGGTGATGGTTCTCATTTCAGCTGGAAAAATCCTGTGCCAGCTAGAAATGAGAAGCTGTTGTTGTCCATCTATGTCTAAAATCAGGGACTAATTATTTTGAAAATTTTTAAGAATTGTGAGAGGTCAATATACACACATTTTCATTGCAATTTGCATATGTGCCATGCAAGACTTGAAAGCTTAAAAGGTGTAGTGACAGTAACTAAATGGGACAGAGTTTAGAGCACTCCAAGCAGCAATTGTTCAGGTTTGTGGAGGTGACAGAGCATAAATTTCTCCCTGCAAACTCTTTTTCTCAATCTTCACTCAACTACTTCCATCACTTTTCATGTGGAAAACCAAATACAACACCTTTAACGAGGAGAGATTGTCTGAAAGTATGCATCATTATTCCTATTAGTCCAATCCTCTCTGCTCTCTCTCTGACAGTAGGCGCTTCACTTTGGCTTCAAAACAACTACAAACACTTTTGCCTTTAGACGTGCTCGGATAACACTTGATGAAGCATACTGCGCCCTTTAATTTAACATAAACAATGTACCAGACAGAACAAACTTTATTCTCCTTTTCGATCACAGCACATCTACCCACTTGAACAGCCTAGGGTGCCCACCCTCTGCTTAAAGATAATCCTACAAAAAAATTCTTTAAATTCTTCTGTAGGCACAAAGACAAGAATTAGGAATAACTCTTTCTCACTGACACTTCAATTTCTCAACATTTTTCAATGTAAAAGAAGTAACGTATTTCAAAATACCCAGAACACAATGTAAAATTCATGCATGATCCAGGGCATTTCTAATTTTGTACAAATCTACTGAAACAGCCTGACTGCACAACGTCCTCTGACATGGTGTGTGTGAGCACATGCTCGGTTACTCTAACTGCTGTATAATGGATGAACCATGCTGTGCCAGTGTTCCCTCCGTTACTGAGACCAACATGCTCTCAGCTCAGATGGAAACCCTATGTTCAATTATTCAAACACATACAGCAGGCACTTATCTATAGACTTTTACATACTGTTTATGATAGTATGTAAGTATCTAGAGTCCCAGAAAATCAGAACAGGACCGTTTGTAACTTTATGCTACAGAGTGTCTTTTCTGAAGTTAAATTATAAAGGCCAACCCCGTGTCCAATCTTCTCATCTCCCATCCTAACTTTTTTTTCCTGAATATTTCACGCTTCACCTGTTGTTTCAGGCAATGTTGAGCACAGAAACGTGTGTACACGTGTTTCTTTGTGTGCTGTTATTTTACTATTAAACTGACAGAAGTTATTATGTAAGTTTATGGAGGAGTTGGAGATTGTGACACACTGGGTTTTTGTAATCTATCAATCCCATATAACTCCTCTCATTAGAAAGCCAGTCAGAAAGAGAAGTTGTGTCATAGTGCAAAGTCCTGTATGTGATGACTGTCATGTAATTTTCCCTAGGTCAACAGAAGGATCTGGCATTAAAGTCACAGTATAGATCTGTTTGGATCAGCCTGGGCAAAAACTTTTCACCTACTCAGAGAACTTCATCTAACTGGACAAATGCAGTCCCTCCAACCGCATAATACAAGGTGCATTGTCACATGGAGTATGCAACATGCTTACTGAAATGGCTTAATCACATGCGCACGCGTGCGCACACACACACACACACACACACACACACACACACACACACACACACACACACACACACCACACACACACACACACACACACACACACACACACACACACACAGCAAATAGACTCGTGGGATCTGTTAGGAGTTGAGTCTCCTAAACAGGACCTGCAGGTTGCATTGATTCAAACAAGTATTACAGGACCTTCTGGACGACTGCGAACGTGTGGCCGGATTGCAGCTTCTCTGCTCAAAAATAAATGAGTCGAGAGCTTTCATTAGTACCATTTCAACAAACTATTTCATTTGGAATCCACCAGCAGATACTTGTCATGTACCAAGCAAAGGGATTAATCATTTTACAGGTCAAAAGCAGTCCATCAACGTGACCTTTTCACTCCTTACAGTTAGCATCTAGTCATGTTGGCATATAGTATTAAGTAGTAAGTATTCCTGCAACAGTGAAAGTAATTCTGGATAAGAGATACAGCTACATGTCTTAGCAATGAATGTGTGCAATCAACACTTAACTTATGATTACCAGGGTGACAAGCAGCTTGAGCTTATTACAGATATTGCTCTGGTTCATGGTGAGTCAGTAGCAATGTCAAGACTTCACGAGATACAGCACAGTCATCCTGACGGGGCAACTTTCCCACCATGGCATTCCAGCGAATGAAAAAAAGTACAAACTTGCCTTTTCACAGAAAAGTTGATATGACTCATAACACCGGCTGGCATCTTTACTTGTCTGCGGTTTAAACATCCACAAAGAGACAATGAGGAGAATTCAAATATGAGAGAAGTTTTCTTGCAGAAAAAGCAATAGAACTTTTCTTTGCATCTTTCTCTGTCTGTTTGACTCTCTCACACACCTCCTCTCTGTCCGATATCCATCCGATATCCATCCATCCAGCCGGCCATCCATCTCCTATCCCTGCCTGCATGCTCACCATCTGCCTGTTCCCTGAGTGGAAGGAACCTCTCAGAGCGATTCAGCACTTCTCAGACCCTGCCCTGAGCACAGATCACATGACAAGGAGGGTGGAACGAACACTCACACTCACCATCACACTCACACACACTCTCACACACACACTCTCTCTCACACACACACACACACACACACACACACACACAAACACACACACACACACACACACACACAGAGTCACATGATCTTTCAACAACAGAGCTTTTGTTCCAAGTAACTGGGGCTGCTGGTAAAGATACAACGCCCTGCCTTGTGCCCTGCCCTGCCCTCCACCAACACACACATACACACACTGATGACACAACAAGCAAATATATGGCTGGATTTACTTGATATCCAATCAGCCCATACGGACACATTTCACTGTAACTAAGTTGCTACAATGATGTCCTCGAGCTGTGTTATTTCTCTTGTGACTCAATGATCATTACTGTAGTCCAGATGATAGCTTCTTGTGAGTCATTTCCAGAGCTTTGAAGGGTTTAAGATATTTGGTTAAAAAAATGAGTTTGGGTCAAAATAAGTCCAAAACTTCTGAAATATTTGTTCCACAATACAAATTATAGTGTCTAGTATTTCAGTGGTGACATATTAAAGAGGAGTGGGTGACACCATTGTGTAAACAGCCTAAAATATTGGCAAACATTCAAGCATAGTGCAAAACATATGTCAACAAGTAGTCTAAACTAAATTAAATTAACTATCACATGACTAACTTTTGTCTGTAAGATATACTCAATTCCTTAGATTTGACAAGTCAAACATTTGGTAAAGTGGGCCTTTTACATTATGTAGTTGGAAATTATTATTCTTTGTCAGACACTTTAAACAACAAAGTTTTCCAGCCTCCATCGTACTGTCAAATGGTTTCATGCAAAGGTTTTGCATTAACAAGCAAAATTGTTTACATTGTTAACATGACATGAATGCAGCATTAAACCTTAGTGGTGGTGATATGACTTGGCATAATGTGACCAACTGTTATTGTTAAAATACTTGATTTGAGTCCAACACTACTTATAGTAGGTGCATATGTAGTTAAAAAATCAAACAATATGTTGTAGGGCTGCAAATAATGATTATTTTGATTATTGATTAATATACCTATTGCTTTCATTGATTATTTGATGTATGTCAGCAAATAGTGTAGGACTAGTGTAGGAATTATTTATTATATTATATAATTATATTATTTTATTATAACCCTAACCCTTTTTTATGACTGTCTGTCAAATTAAATAATAGAAAGATTCTATGGCATTCATGTACCTGTTCATGTTTAACCTGAGCCATGACATACAACAATGATAGCATTCATATCACATCCACACACCGTTATTAGTATACAGCTGTTAATTTTTTTCATCGCAACTGTATTGGATCAGTACTCAGTATCTGTGTCGGTATTGGGACATCTCTATCTTAAACACTGGAATCATCATAGAGCTTATCATCCTATTTAATCCAAAACCCTATTAAAATTAGCACAAGGGAGCCGTGGGTGTCCAAATCAAGACAAAACATGAAAATTACCAAAATGAGTGATACAGTTAGGATTTACAGAAAAGTGACAGTAAAATAATAGCGATCATGCTTAGCTTATAATGACCCTCAGAGGGAGTGTATCTTAGTCCACTGCACTCTTCAACATATACACTACAAGCTTACCTTTGCAACATCCAAGCCCAACCTTTGAGCTTTACTTCTATCGGCGCTCATCCTCATCTCCTGTAACCTATCATGCAGCCATCTCCATTGTACCAATCCCTGCGCTCAGTGTCTGTAACTGGTCTTTCTTTCAACAGGCCTCTCATGATTTAGCTCCAACACAGACCACTCAGGCATGACTGCTGCCACCCAGCAGAAACCTTCAGACCGCAGTTCTACTGTTAGCTCACAGTGCAGGATATACCAGCTGAGCGAAAGGCAGGCTAGTCAATCATTTACCAATACCAGCAGAGAAACTCCACCACAGCTCACACTGAAAACAGCAGCCTCTGGCCTCTGTACACTAAATAACACTATTTCACTACACAAAATAAAAACTGTAAATTCCAGGAATCTGCAGACCTGTAACTTAAAAAGGAATACTGTGCTAGGACATTAGATTATACACATTAATAGAGTCCTCAAAGATAGTATCAACAGGTAGGTGGTGATTAAATAGATAATTATAGGAGGAACTATTAAATGTATTTCATCCATCAAACACTAGCTGAAAGTTTTATTTTGAGTTTTAAATGATTACTGGCATATTAAGTGTTTGTAATTTTAAGAAGGGTTAATCATCTGAGTAATTATCAGTTAAAATACCCAAAAATCTCTTGAATGATGCTTGTCTTTCCAGACAACACAGTCTAACTTTACACTTTAAACTTAGTTTAATCTGGATGAATTAAATTACATGAATGTCAAGAAGTAATTTAGGGAGGGAAGTAAATATCTATACCAGCTATTGACTTATTCAAATTTTCAACAAGCAATGAGAAAATGGAAAACGCTACTGATAAAGTCTTGCCATGTTGACAGCAAGCCACAAGCATCAATGGCCTACTTATCTCCACCTGTTACTACATCATATTGCAGGCTAACAATACCATGCACTCACTTGCTATCCAACAAAGCCAATATAGTTTCAGTGTGTTGACACTAATCTTGTTTGCTTGTGACAATACCTCTGACACATGAAAAAGGGTAATGCGGTCACATCCAAGACCAAAGTTGGTTATGGTTACAACCCCCTGCACACAGTCACACAGCTGGCTGCCCGCCTGTTTGCCTTGCTCACAAATGAACATCATAAAATACAACATAAAGAGTATGTCAGGCATGTACAGCCAGTCTCGGGGGCAATTCGCTGGTGCGATGGTACCTTTGCTCTTCACTGCAGCTAACCTTATCAATGAATTAGTAGCCAGCGCTCTCTTTATTTACATAGTTATGTGACAATGGTATAACTAGCTGGCAAGGAAATTATGTGCTAGAGGACGCATTTCAAGAACATATCATTTTTGAGAACACGACGCACACAAGCGGCAGTTGAATAGAAAAAGAAACTCAATATTGACATTAACTTAGCTAACGTTAGCTAGCTGAGTTAGCATAGTGACAAAAACATGCTGCCAGAAAAGAAACCCAACAAACCATGTGGTTAATGCTAGCTAATCAGGTCACCTCACTTACCGTAAAATCCTCCTTTTTGCTTCTTGCTGGTAACAAACTTAGTTTATAGGGAGCAGCCTGACGTTAGCTGGCTGGCTAATGGGAGTTTGCGCTGTGTGTGTTTGTATGTGTGTGCGTGTGTGTGTGTGTGTGTGTGTGTGTGTGTGTGTGTGTGTGTGACATCCAGTAACCTCTCCTCCTCTCCGGACGACTCTGCCCTGCTGTCGACTGTCAGGCGGAGGAGTCTCGCTGCTAATGGTAACGCTAGCTAACCTGCCGTTAGCCTTCTGTTTTCATAACAAGGAGCCCCGGAGCCTGCAGATAGAGGAGTCTGAAGACCTCGTTGCTCCTAGTGTTTCATGTGGGATAATGAAAGGATAAAGACGCTGCTTTGTGGCTGCTCCTCTCTACTAATGGAGACTGACTCGGTTGTCAGTTTACTCCGCTTGTTCAGGCAAATTACACTCATGACGTCATGACGTACAATAAACAATCACAGTTCACCAGCAAAAACTAATCCATTTCACTTTTATTAAAGAGTTTTATTTTCTTTGTTTAAGAAAATAACAGCATTCTGTTGTATTCCACAAGTTATAGCAATCGAATAAATAATGTGTTGGTTTTTAAAATAATCTATTTTCTTCATATTATATATATTTTATGTAGGCTATATTCTTCTTCATGATGGTCAGAAGTAAAAAAAAAAATGCAACATAATATCTTAATGCTTGGATAAAAGATCGAATAATAGTTATGTCTTCACCAAGTGGTTCACTATAGCACAGTTGTTAATATATAGGACGGGTTAACAGGAGAATCATTTCAAGCACAGCAAAATTGAGTTAGTGTTTATACATAACTTTATTTAAAGTGTCTATGTGAACACGTTTTCAGGACAACAGAGACATTGTACTGAACTGAAACAAACAAACTGGTCGGCTATGTTTACCTACAAATATATTTAAAATAAAGCATCCATCTGTAACTCTTAGAGAAATGGAGGCATGTTATTGTTCAATATAATGATCTCGTGAAAGGGTACAAATTAATTTATATTAGTTTAAACCTACTTATAATATATTTATCAACCTCGTTACAGAAGGTAAAAGATAGACAACAATAACACAAAAGATACAAATATATGCGACAAAATATGGGCATACTAGTGACATCAGTTGATATCAGCTTTAACAAGCAAATATCAGCATTGGTGCAATATTTTTCACTGGTATTTTTGTGATGTTTTCTTCTAGGAATGCATCACTTAATACAACTTTTAAATTAGTGTCCCAGTAAAAGTATAACCCTTCATTTGTACTATGACAAATGTGAGAAAATGCATATCTGTATGGTGTCATTTGGGCTGAAAAGTGCACTCTCACTTAAAAATGATGGTAATTTGTAGCTAATGGTAGGCTAACACAGCATTATAACAAAAAACATTTCCACTGCCTATTATAACACCTTTAAAGAAACGTCTGTACTAATAAATTGGTCATGAATAGCTTTGCAACAGTGGCACCTAGAGGACAAGAGATGTAACGGGAGTCGTTTCACAAATGCTAAAACAGATTGAACAGAAACAGAAAGAGAACATAGAAGGAACTCTGATAACATTTCAGAAAGGACACATTAGTTAGTTAAACCTGTGGTTAGTTCTCTTCGTGTTGTTTTCGTGGATCATCCTGGCTTGCTTGACAGAGAGGCGAGTGTTGTGGAAGGCACACTGTCTGTCATGTCACGACTGGGCTGTCACCACCATCATCGTCTCTGTGGCTGCACCAAAAACAAAAAGCACAACACCAGTTTTGTACAGTAGAAATTCATTAGTTTAATGTAAAAGACTATATGATTTTGCAACATACTTTAGATTAAATAAGTAGAATGGACATGTGTTACATATCTGTGTTGTCTTCATAACGTGCATCATTATGAAACACTTTCTGTAATAAGTGAAAGTGTTGGAGTGTCTATGAGTCACACTGGCCTCACCAGCTCTGAGCATTTAAATGTAGCTGTCTGAGAATAATCCTTATCCTGAAGATGTCCATTCTACTATCTCTAGTTCAACACAGACAGCTGCGTTCATAGTTGTGCTGCTTTTAACTGATTACCTTCTTTAATTGTATTATTACATCACTGAGCAGCTTTTTACAGTCCAGATAGACACCTTTGGCTCTGTGGATACAGGCAGAAATACATCTGGTCAGAGCCAAACACAGCGTAGACTCTGATTCTGTTTTCTTTTCAAGGGATAAAGTGAACAGCAGTAAAGTGTTCAAGACTCAAAATAGCAGAAAACTATAAACAAAACAATTTAGATGGACTTAACATTTTTACATTTGATGCAACTTTCTAAGTAGGTTTAACAAGGTGGGCTGTTCATTGCACCCGCCTTCATCAAGCACTGATTGAGAGTCCTTAGGATCTGACAGCTTTCAAATTGAAAGGTTATTTCATGTAAAAATTGAAGTGTCAGCTGGGGCATCATTAAAGATGTCAGCTCAGAACAGAGGAGACACAGGTTGAAAGTCACCCTGTGAACATGTCCATCTCATCTTTCTTTAGCTGATTGCCTTTCTGAGTCTCTTGTGTATTGAAACACATTAATTTATGTATAATTACTTCAATGAGGTAATTATTATTAGTTACACCTGTGAGGTACAAGTCAGTGTGTAAATGTTTACTGTGCTGCCATCTAGTGGCTGAAATCCTGAGGGATTTGAAATGTCAAACTCTTCCTGGTGAAAAAAATAATGAAACTCTGGTTCCCCTGTTTAGCATTCATAAGCAGTAAGCAAAGATTATAATGTCATTATAAGCAAATATAAAATGACATAATTAAGTGTTTATTAATGTCAACAACTTTACCTGCGAAGACATAAATATTACAATTGTGTTCTACAATATTGTCATTCAGTTTCTCTTTATACACCAGCCGTCAGCTGTTATGGATTACAGTGAATGACAGTAGTTTACATACATCAATAAATATATATGGCTGCTTACAACTATATTATAGTCATAAATTATATATCTAATGTTTATATGCTGCTTATGAATGCTAAAAAAGTCAAGTGTTACCAAAGTTACCAAAAAAGGGGATCAGTGGACAAACATACCTTAGTCAATTATTTTTAAATATTGTCTAATACAAGCTGTGATTCATCAGCTTGAAGTTACATTCAAGTTTTGAATGTAGATAATTAACATAATATGGGATTACACATTCATTAGTGTAATTTCATAAACCTGTCTGAATGATCCACTTTCAGTCTAAAAGGCTTGTTTGTGCTAAGGAAGATCAAAATTGGACATCTGTGGGCTGATGAATCAAGATAATCTGCTCATTTCTGTTGTTTCCACTTTTATACAAAGTCCCAAAAAATTATCAGTTAAACATATAAACAGTACTGTAATGATTCCCTTGCCTTAGATGTGACAAAACATTAGGAATATATATTATGTAACTTTGAAGGTGATGCTAAGATAGGCATGGGGTGTTCAGAAACTGTTGACTGGGAGCCAGTGTGTTCTTACTTTGTCCCTCCACCAGTGACACCACCTCCTTGGCCTCATGTGTTAAATCCACCTCTCCTTCACTGACCAGCTCCTCTCCCAAAGCAGCAGGTGGCACCTCCTCCTCCCCAGCTGAGGGAGCGGAGTGGCAGGAGTGGCAGTGCTTTGCCTCATGTACTGGAGCCTCTGATGAAGGTTCTGGTTCAGCAGCTGAAAGAACTTCCAGATCTGATCCAGTGGAGGCTGCAGCCAGCTGAGCCGTGTCCACAAACGCTGACCCAACTTCAGCTGTCTCCTCTGCTGAGGCTTCGTCTGCTCCCTCCTCCACTGATGTGTCAGCAGCGGGCGTCATCTCATCTGGGAGCGTTTCATTCTCTGGAGCAGCTTCAGCAGTGGTGGTGGCCTCCTCTGCAGGTGTGACTTCCTCAGCTGTATCTTCAGGTGAGGCCTCTGTCGAAGAGACAGCTTCCTCAGGAGCAGCTTCGGGGTCCGCTGTCTGATCCTCATCCGTAACCGCTCCCGCCTCCTCCACTGTGGGTGTTGAAGCTGTATCTTCCACAGGAAGAGACGCTGCTGCTTCCTCCTCTGCTGCAGCTGGAGCAGATGCCTCTTCGGTCATCACCTCTTCAGCAGATAGAGCTTCTACAGCTTCTGCATCAGCCACTTCCTCAACAGCACCAGCCTCTGCAGTCTTCAGCTCCTCCTCGCTCACTACAACAGCTGGCTCTTCAGCTGCTTCCTTAGCTACCACCTCTGCGGTCACCTCCAGGATTTCTCCTTCTACCACCTCCAATGTGGAGTCCAAACCTTTTCCCTCTTCCTCCATTTGTCGGACAGCTTCCACCAGACTCGTCTCACCAACAGAAGCTGCCGCAATCTCAACTGTGGAGCTGGCCAGGATCTTCACAGCTGTGAGCAGATCTGGCATAGACTCTGAAGTGGGGAAGGAGAACAGGAAGTAACGGCTGAGAAAGATATGTCTCATTGAAACAACATTCCAGTTGTCAGTATGCAGGGAAATTCCTTTAATATCAAGATCAAAATATATATCAAATATGAAAATTGTGACTGCTGTATGATGCAAACCTGTACTGTAATAGTATTGTATTTTTATATTCACCATCTGATTCAACATCTGATAAACATAGTCCATTATTTTCTTAGTGATATACTGAGCTGTTTTGTTTAAATTCCACTTACCTTGACCACATGCCTATCACTGGATGGTCTACAGCCACCACAGACTCTACAGGAGACTACCTGCCCAGTTCATGCTCCTCCTTTTAGAAAAGGTTGTCCTGAGACAGAAGGTATAGCTGGTGAGCATTCTTGACACTTTGAGAATTGCTTTGATAGCACTGTATTTCAATATAGAAACATTTAATATAGCTTTACAGATATGGAATAACCCTGGATGAATTTAATGGTGATCTCCACACAGCGTTCGCAGATTTTAGTTACATGGCATTTATGTGTTGGTAAACAATGTAATAGGAGTCAGAGGTGTAGTCTGTCACTCGGTGTCCTGTGATGTTCCGGTCTGTCACGCCACCCTGACGAACCACAGGGACACCCTAAAAATGAGCACTGTAATCTTGGATTAGTCTTATCCTGTCTGTGAGGCAGCTTTACACTGCACTAGTCACTCGTCAATGTAAATAAACAGCTGATACAAATCTATGTTGTAACAATGAAGTCCATGGTGAATTTTCAAGTATAGTTGTAAACATGTGGTGGTTCAAGGATTTATTAAAAACCTAATTTTTTTTTAATTTATTTTTTTCCCCAAATCTTGTTGAGCAGAACCTGTTTTCTGAATGTTGCCTGTCTCTACCTGCTATACATGATGAATATATTTACTCTGATAAATATATTACATACACTTGGGTGATAGGTAGGTACATTTGTGTCTCTCGCTTAGATTTATACCTTGTTTTTTGCTGTTGCACACGAAAAACATGATGAGATTGCTGATGGACTACTAACATCTCAGCAAACTCTTCTTTCAGTTTTCAATCTTCTGAGACATGCCTGTGATAAAGGGCTATACACACTCACTTGATCAGAAACGATCTGAGCATAGTTCTTAAGGTCTTTGTCAGTCAATCTTCCACTTGGATTCACAGGAGCATGAACGTGGCACAGGGATTCTTCAGGAAGGGAAACATTTCTACAGAGGAGGGTGCTTCTATATCTACAGTGTAATTATCACAATATTTACTGTGTCACATTCTTCACATGTTGTGTTCAAAGCAACAAGCAAAAGCATCTAGGAGTGTTGAAAGTATGTAGCCCTGGACAGATCAGATACTGATTCGGATCCAATTTTGGACAAAACCTCCCAAAATTTTGATAAATGCAAACAACATTCAAACAAAAAAATTAAAAAAATCATAACTTCAATTATACATACATTCACCACACAAGAATAAAAATGCGATATTGAACCAAAAAAAGAGTAACTTTGTCTTTATTGAAACACTTCAAACTCACTTATCATCCAGTAACTGTATTAATCATAATGACAACTTTCAATGTTCAGACGTAGAAGTGATCAATTTCCTTTTCTGTAGTGTTCCCTGAAAGTTTAGTTTCACAGTTAAAGAGACAAGATGGAGCAGAAGTGTCTTTAAAACACTGAAGAAAAATGGCTTTCTGAGAAAAGGCTGGAAAAAATATTGTCATGATGTAGACACATGGGTGAGCTATATGAAGCAGGTGCAGGCTGGTGTAGCTGCAGATAGATAACTAATAAGGTCATAATGGAAATAAAAGTATGTGAATGTATTGGGACAAAAAGACAAAGTAAAATTCTGAAAATGAAGGAGGAAGAAAATCCCATTTTAACTTTGTCTCACTCTGAAAAAAAAAAAAAAAAAAAAAAAAAAAAAAGGATTTTATCAAGACCAGACGAGAGCTGCAGACTAGAAAAGAAACACTAGCTGGTTTTTGGTCACTTTTCACAGTGAAAGTTAAATCTGAATGAAGCAGACTGACTTCATGTTTCATCTCAGTACTGTTTTCATTATAATCATAACCTAGGCAAAGATTCACGAGGACATAGCTGGAAGTACGAATTTGCTGAGCAGAGGAAGACCAAGTGCAAAGGATGTCAAAAGAAACAAGACGAACAGTTTCTTAAATGGACTGCATCCATCCACCCTGCTGACATCTTTAGAGTAAAGTAAAGGAACAAGATGCAGGACCATGTCCTGTTTCTAAGGGCACTTCAAATATTAATTTACAGAGAACAACATTAGTTATCAACTCTGTTCTATCCCTTATATGACCTACTGCAACACTCCTCTATTAACTGTACATCAGCCAAACCATCGTTTGGATTAGCTCTGCTCTGGTGAAGATCATTTCTATAGAAACCCTAACCCTGATTTTTCCAAACTGAATCTGTTCAGACAGCCTAATGCCAAATCTTATGGTTTGGCTCTGAAGGTTGGGGTGAGGTAAAGGGAAGAAAGGCACCTGAAAACCGGACAGATGAACCCCAAAGTGGTATTCACTAACCAACAGGAAGTGAAAACTAAATGTTAATGCTCCTTTACTAAAATAGGGGTTCATGAGTCCTTTTTTCCTGGGCCAAGAGAGGTGGGACACAGCACAACTAACTCCTCGCCCTCCTTTCTGGCCAAACTACATTGAGCCATCACAGCTCTATGCAGCCACCTCTGCAGCAGGGGCGGCCTCAGCCTCAGGGGCCGCAGGCTCAGTCTCTGCCTCAGCGGGGGGAGCAGGAGGGACCTCATCTACTGCAGCCGTACCAGCGCTCTCTGCTGCGGGGGCCTCTGCTGCGGGGGCCTCTGCTGCGGGGGCCTCTGCTGGTGTCTCCACTGCGGCAACGACTTCCAGAGCGCCAGGAGCAGCTTCCTCTATCGCTGCAGGTGGAGCGGCTTCTTCTGTGACTGCTGGCTCCACCTGAGCCTCGATAACGGTCACCTCAGAGGCTTCTTCAGACACGGCCTCGACGACAGGTTCAGCAGCCGTCTCTGCATCAGCAGGTACCAACTCGGAGACGACCTCGATGGCCGGCGCTGCCTCCTCCACTGGCGCGGGTTCAGCTGCCTCTGGTGCTGAAGAGGCTGCAGAGAAAGAGGTTGTAAACAGAAATGTGTGAATGCAACCTTCCTTGACAGAGCTATTGGTTACTTGTTATGTGCATAATGAAAATTAACAGCTAGTGTAATGTACCGTAGAATTCTAGGCCTGTTTCGGCTGTTTGGACGCGTGTTTCAGTTTTTCCTGCAGATAACTGACAGTCAGGAAAATCCTTCTTTGCAGCTACAGATATAGATGTGAGGGTAAATACTTTTTCATGCATACAGACTAATGGCTCTGGGAATAACAATATTTGGGCCAGAAAATTAACTTTCCACAGAATGGAGTGGACGTGATGAGACAAACATGTCTGCGATGAGTGCTAGGTGAAGAGGTCAAACTGTTCTTAACCTGGGAACATCAAAGCACTGGAAATCCAAAGGAAAGGGACAAAATCCGAAACCGTAGCCACCAGCTGCCTCCCATAATGCAGTTGGCCAGCTGGGCAATAAAGTTTTTTTTAGACCTCTTAAAAAAAAAAAAAAAAAGGAGAGGAAAAAAAGTGCGATTTGAACTATTTGACCTCAAATTCCTGTCCACTGGTAACATACAGATGAAGGTCAAGAGCTTAGGTCTTAAAGGTCTAAAAGGTGGCGCAGCTGCTGTTAAAACTGTCAACATAATATGAGTAAAGAGGAGGATAATCCTTAATCCTAACAAGTCATCAGAGGGACAGAAATAACTGCTGACGGCGTCACTGTTGCTACTGACTGGTTGGTCTCTAGCTAAAGGAAATGCAGTTTTGGTTTATACAGATAGAGAAGTATCCTTAAAAAAGAAAAAGTAAAAAATTTGTACTTGTATTTATTTGAGGTAATGATAAAATAAAAAAAAAAAAAAAAAAAAAAAAAAAAAAAAAAAAAAAGGAGCAATCATTGTTAAACTGAAATAGTGAAACAAGAATGTCATAATGAAAACATTCATGCTCCACTACGACAGTGAAATGAGTTTCAGTGCCTCTGAGTGTCGATGTAGTCCTCCTGCTCATCTGTTGAACACATGGCTCTGTGGCGCAATGGATAGCGCATTGGACTTCTAGTTAAGCTCTGGAGAAGTGATTCAAAGGTTGTGGGTTCGAGTCCCACCAGAGTCGTGCTTTTGGAAAGTAACAACAGTTAACACTTGGACACTAACTAAATCCGCATGTTAGGACGACGGGGATTTGTCTGGTTTCCACTGCGGGATCATCTGAGATTGATCCTGCGCTTACATAAATATAAAGTCTGTGTTACAGCAGAGAAACAACTGCGAGAAAGGCTGAATGGGGAAATGAAGAGCCACAGCATACTAAACGTTACTTCATTAATAGCAATGGATGTGATATTGATACGAATTGCAGTTCTTCACACGTATTTGATTCGACACAGACTTGTGATGTAACACTAGGCTAAAATAAGGAACTACAGGACGGTACAGCTCTAAAAATGTGACTAAACTTTTGCCCTGACAGCAACAGTTTTGTTTCCACCAGTGAGCCTCAACTTTAATGCCGTCTTTATTATACTCACAACATCCAGTGAGAGTCATTATGATAACATGTTTTCTTTAATCTCATATGGAAGCGGCGGGTTAGCTGTCAGTTCCAATATCAGAACATTAAAGTGAGTGTTTTAACAAGGAGCCAAAACAGGTCCAACAACCCACCTAATTGTACACTAAATTACACAGCAAAGACACTCAGTGATGACTCCTCAGATAATGTGTCAGGAAATATGAACCTTGATCACAATCACTTTAATCACCATCACTGTGTGCATTAAGATGTTTCTGTGACTTTGTTTCCTTTAGATTTTTGCCCAGTTACGTAATACAATCACTGGCCAGTTCAAAGACCAAATCAGTACCGTCTCCAGCGCTGTAGGGAGCAGAGCTTTAGACTATTTGTGACCAAAAACAACACTTCCAGGCCGCATGTACACAACAGAACCGGTGACAGTGGCCGCTTATCCCCATCACAGGCTAGTTAGCTGCTCTGGGCGCAGAGCCACAATCTCTCCAGGCTCAAAGTGGCTGAATGGACAAATAATTTGCAGACAGAAATCAAAACAGACAGGCAGATAAAGCTATTGAGAGTGATCATTCAACCATGTTTGATATTTGGGTGGTAAAGCCAGAACCAACTCAGAAATACAGTGAGATCTTCTGCTTTCTCTTCTTCTGTTTTGTCCGTATCAGATGAAAAAGCTACAGAGGCTGTTCATTACCTCATCTGACAACTCTCAACCATTTTATTTGAACCATTTCATTCATCAATACTCAGTACATATACTGTGTAGATGAAGCAAAAACATGGCTCTTGATCATATGTTTTAAAACCTGATTAAAACCTGGATATCGGAGTTTTGAGGCTGTCAGATACAAAAATATCAACAAAGAAAAAAAGATTGTGTCATCATGTGATCTGGGAAAAAGTAAAAGTTCTGTATAGTATGAATCAATCTCTCATGAAATGTGTGGAGGTGATAAAACTGAAATATTCTATGTCTGTAATCTATTCATTTCAGTCTAGACAAATCCCCAAATTCAAATTAATTTGTTTTTATATTTTGGGCTGTCTGCACTATCTTTGGTAAATGCAACCACACAGTTTGAGGTTTCTTGTACTGAATGTTATGCTCCAGAGATTGTGAGAGTGTAGTGTGTGTGTGTGTGTGTGTGTGTGTGTGTGTGTGTGTGTGTGTGTGTGTGTGAGAGAGAGAGAGAGTGAGTGAGTGAGTGAGAGAGAGAGAGAGAGAGAGAGAGCAGCTGACCCTTTGCTGGGGAGCCCATGTTGGCCAATCTGTCCTCATAGCGCTCACTGTCACCGTTGACCGTCTTGTAAGCCTGAGGGAAGGAGGGCAGATATGCACTTCTTACATTCCATCACACACCAAACGATAACAGTATAAAATGGTGAAGGTATTACAAAATGTCACTTAACACTGACATTCTGGCTATCATGAACCAGCACAGCTGATACAGACTAGTGATTTACCAAGAGCCTGACAGTAAACAGGGAGAAGGTCTGTCCAGACATTGGCTGCATGTGGCAGAGTTTGTCTGAAAGCACAAAGAACTTTCTCTTTGCCTTTCAGCATCTGAGCTGAACACAGTGCAGTCTGTCCTGAGGCTGCTCCCAGCTTACAACAGTAAACTCACCATAGTGTAAAACTTCAGAAAGATCATCACAAATTAACTGGTTCAATCATTACATTCTTACGTTTTCGCTTTAATTTACTTTCCTGGAAAAAGGACCAAGTGATGACATACACTGTATTAAAGGCCCCATATTGTATTAAGTGAGATTTCTTTTTTGTTTATAAAGCGGGTCTAGGTTCTATATTAATACTGTGAAAGTATCAAAGCGCTCATTCCACATAGAAATGCAAACAGGCTGTATTCAGAAACTGAGCCTTAAAATGAGCCGTCAGGACTTCTGTAACTTTGTGATGTCACAGCAAAGCTATCACTGCTCATAGCCATTGCCCCATGCCCCGCCCACCACGACAGAATTTGGTTTCTCTTGAGTGTTTACCTGAAATCTGCTATATTTTTATTTGATAACTCAGAGAACAGTCAGCCAATCAGAAGAGAGGCTCAGAGCCCCCTCTCTTCTGATTGGCTCACTGACCTGTTGTTACTAGAGCTCCAGAGAGAAGCCTGAGAGAGGAGATGTAAAACTACACTGAGATGGTTTTTGGTTCTTAAAACCACAAATATATCTTCAAATAAAACAAACAATCGAAATGTGTAAAATATGGGACTTTTAAAGTACTTCACACACACACAAGAAAACCCCTGATAGTCATAGAAATCATAGCAGAACAACACAAGTATAAAATATCAATAAAAATCTGAAATTTTTGATGCTCACATAGACGACTGCAGCAGTGAGGCCTCCTCCACACAGAAGGAAGTACGTCATGTTGGTAGAGCCACCAGGAACGCCAAAGGCCATGTGTCGCACTGGAGCCGCTGAGAGACACAGGAGAGCGGAGTGACAGGGTTAGTATGGTAAATCAACAAGGACGCTGACCTTTAGTAAAGAGATTTACATTTATTCATAAATACAATATTTCAAAACAGATTGTAACGAGTTATTTGCGCCGTCATTGAGTCAATGACTGAACACAGGACATTTGTATTGTATCCCTAATCAAAATGAAACAAAGCAAACCATGATTCATTTGACAATTTAGTGGTATTTCATTTGTGAAACTGTCAGTCCATGAGAAGCATCATTTGGCACAAAGACCAGTGCATTCTGACAGTGTCAACATGTCCGCTAATCCAGTTACACAATGAATCTCTGGTCATTTGTAGCAGAGGAGATGGAAAGATTTAGCTGTAGCCAAGCTAAACACAGAACTCTCCCTTAAATTAAATCCCCCCGCAGCAAACACACAAACACCGAAACGCTTCCTGCGTCACAATCCTAGACTTGCATCAAAACAAACTATTTCAAAACGATCTGCTGGACTTGAATTCATGTGAACTAGTCCTAAACACATATGTCAGGACTAACAGGGGATCTGTTAAAGGCTTCTTAATGGGCTATTGTTACTGTGGTGGATCGGGGAGCGGCTTGTAAGTCCTGTAAAAAGATTTACTGGTGTTTAGAGGATTGCCAGTGGTGCATGCAGGGGAGGCCATAAATAAATCCACCCTGCATCCCAAACACTGCCTCAGCCTAATCTCTTCCTACCTAGTCTCACACACACACACACACAAAAGAGTAGATACATGAATAGTACATATGATATCCTGACTTACACCCTCTGCACATGGTTTACTCAGCTAACTGAGCAGGCCAGCTGCAGCAGTGAGAGAGCACGATGTACGGTACAACCCGCCCCCTTTTCGTTCTTGCCATGTTTCATACATGTGTTCAGGTAAATCATAACTCCTCCTGTGACTTTAACACCGACATCCTGTATGTACACAAAGACCTGAATGATTGTTCACCTTGCAGTCACAACACTTCTAACCCGTCACTGATTTTCATAATATCTAAACTGGTTTCATCAGTTAATGATTCCTGTTTGAGCACCAGGAGCACTAATGAATCGAGTAACATCCTCATCAGTCAGTCAGAACTCTTGAGAGGTGAAACAGCTACGAGTACGTAGAACCAAGTCCAAACTTTGAGAAGAACGTGAAAGTGGTTGCACGTAGTGAAGAACCTGCAGCTCCCCATTAGCGTTTCAGAGCTTTATAGTCTGTTTTAGCTCATTGTTTAGCTGTCCGACCCCCAACTGTACTGTTTTGGTTCACTGTCACCGCTCTCATGGTGCCGTTTTCAGAAAGAGCTACTGTACATTACCGGCTCAGCACCAAACAGGAGACAGACACAGTTAGCGACGATGGAGCATTTAGGAGCTGGGAGTCAGTGGAGACCACAAACAGAGCTAAAAGAGAGTGACTTATATTTGCCAGGTGGCCAGAAACACGACCCCAAATTAGTGAGTATGTTGCTATTTAACTGCTGGATGTGTAAATAAGAAACAATTTGTTAAAAGCAACTTAAAGGTGACGATATGTCAGTGTTGTGGTCACAACTTGTTTCCACTGCCTCCAAGAGGATGTTGCAGCTTTGGGTATTCAATATTACAAAGAAATAGTTATGACCAATAAAGTGAATGTGAGTTTGCCATTTTGGTAAACACTTGTATTCGTTACCTTTGGACAGAGCCAGCTACATTTTTAATGAAGAACATTTTTAGTATTGACATTTACCACTAAAGTGAGACACTGATAAATATACGTGAGTAAAACAGAGCTGAACACTGTCCTGTCATGAACGCTGAGCAAATGCAGCAGTAAGTCCTCTCTCCCTCCTCCTCTAATACCCATGACACAGCAGCACCATGCAGGGACAAGGCCAAGTACAGGTTATTTATACAGGTAATCAGTTAATCCTTGTGGTGAGGTTCCAGCCTGTAAAAACGGACATGCATGTCAGGCAACAACAGACAAAGATGGGCGGCAGTGACACATGTGGACATGCATGTTGGATGAACGTGCGCACTCCTGCCTCTGTCTGTCAGTGTATATGTGCTCGGTGTGACAGAAGGACAGAGGATAATATGCAGACCAGCAGGACAACCATGACAGGACCTGTCACACAGTCCTGCTGCATATAAGTACTACCTACAGGCTATTGTGCTCTGTTTGTGTGCTGTGTAATTAGAGCGCAGTAGCCTACAGCATCTACCTCTGCTCCCTTTCCTATATTCACTACATAAGCTTCAAAGTAGCAACCAGTTTGTCGAGATCTACTTCGATGGACGCACAAAAGCTTCCATCATGGACTATGGTCTTCCATGTCATATTGAGGTTTGTGCAGCATCAGTCAGGACTTTGCCACACGTTTTTAAAACAGGAAATTGAAGCAGCAGTTTGCCCTCAGGCTGAATTCCACATGCTCACAGCACAAAATGAAGGATGATCTGGGCAGGAACGCGTGAAAAGAGAAAGCGTCCTGAAAATACAAGCGATCAAGTCTCAAATCCCTCTGCTCACATGCAAACTCTCCAAAGTCAGGTTTCAAACATAAATTACTTATTTATTTATCCATGTAATATTTTATATATGTTTATATAAAGAGTTGTACATTTTATTTATTTTGCAAATAGCATTTTTAATAAAAGGCTGAAACTTGTGTAGAGGATAGCTGATCTCCATGTGGTCCTGCTCATTAAAGAGTGCTGGGACACCGTGTTACTCTGACAAGGTGTCCTGTGAAAATTTGGAAATTCTTCAAAAACACTGGACTACATGTTAGAAACTTGATTACTTGCATTTGAAGCAAAAATGAAGCGTGCTTAATGTAGCCTATAAAATAAAAAAAAACTAAAAAAATAAAATAAAATCAAAGCGATTTTTTTTGTTGTCTGCGATGCACGTTTTCATAACCAGAGTGTGTGAGAACTGTCTGTTCCCAAAGCAGGACACACCTCCTTGTTACAGACTAACTGCTGCAGCTCCACTCTGCACAGTGGAAAACCCACAAATATATCTGTTTCTGCGACTTTCACACACTTTCACATGACCAAGAAGATTAAAAGATTTGAATGAATCACTGCTGCACAAATCATCCTTTTACAAACATGCATTTGAAAGAGTTAACGTTGCAAGTAAGACAGTTGTTAGAATTCAATTTTTGGCCAGTAAGACAGTTAATTGAAAAACGTTTCACAAAATCCATTCATTTGAACCAAACTGCTAAAACGCACGTGCCTGATTACTTAATTAATTACTTCACTTAACTTCACACACAATCGAGCAGTAATTGAAAAGTCTCTAACAATAACCCGACTCACCATTTCTGGGTGTGGGTTTGAAAGCCCTCCGTGCCAGCGGCCCGACTCTCTGCCATGCCCGTCTGCAGAACATCTTTGCTCGGTTATCGGTGGCAGGTTCACGAGTGTGTCTCTGTCTCTGTGTGTGTGTGTCTGTGCGTTTCCAGCAGGTTTTGAAGATACACGAGGAGGAGCGCTCAGTTGATGATGAAGACACCTCCTCTTCAAAAAAGATCAGCTCACCACTACGACATCTACAGGCCACGAGGCAAAATAACAAGCATTTGAAGCCAAAAAAAAAAGATTTCCAATAATATTCTATGGAAATCTGAGGTTTTTTCATTTACTGTGGATTATTTTAGAAGAACTTTTCTAACTGTAATTATTTATGTATTTCTAGTAATATTTTCTAATGCTTGTGTTTGGACTCTTTTGAGGCAGATTTTGACCTGTTGAATGTAACACTTTTGCAGTTTTTGATATGCTGTCTAATTCACTAATCATTCATAGAAATCACTCTTCAGAATGGGATATGACATCATGTTGACTCTGCTGTGATTGTGAGGAGGATCAGACATCCCTCATTCTGGTTCCAAGTGGATTACAGTCCCATTTGGTTGCGTGGCAAGAGACAGTGAGCTGTGGTTGCATAATACACACTTGTGCCAGAGTGTTATTGTGGGCCTGCATTGTGCACACTCAAAAAAACAAACAAACAAGACAAAGTTAACCCTACCATATGGGACAGAACATATGCTGAATTGGTTTGACCCATGTTTCAATATTTTGATCCAACCTGGTGAGTAAAATAAACTAGTCTGGGTAAAATATAACCCATGCCCGGGGTTATTTCCTCTCTCATTGCCTTAACACTTTTATATTTAATAATAATGATTGTAGTTATGACAATGGTATATTATATGACAATTATTATTTTTGTGTGATGAATAATAATTTCCCATAATCATGCAAACACACACAATACAACATTTTTATTCAAACTCAGTCTTTGTGTGAAAAGGCTGCTCCATTCCCCTTTTCACTAGGCCCTGGTTTTGTCATTGTTATTTCATCAGTATTTTAGTTGGATGTGTCTATTCATTTTTCAGGCTCAGTTATTCAATACATTGGTTGTGAGATGTGGTTGATCTTTGTTTGTAGGTTGTTGTATGTTGGAAGGGTCGGCCCACTTTGTATATTTTCAGTTGTTTGTGTGGGTGAGTGGGGTTGATCAGCAGCTCAGTCAGGGAAAGGGGAAACAGGTGTGTGTCATTAGGTCCTCTTAGTAGTAGCTAGGGACTAGGCATGAGTATGTGGGAAGAGGGGTAGAACTGTTCTGCACAAGGTGACACTGGGGTGAAACTTCTACAATATCTGGTGCTTATTGTAAAGTGGGAATTGTCAGCAGTAACAGAAGTTAGTAGGTAGTGGTTGTATGGGGTTTGGTGCTTAGACAGACATGTGTAGGATTTGCCCCCCCCATACTTACCTGAGCTGGTGGTAGGCTCCAGTCAGGTGAAAAGGAGAAGATCAGATGCCAATCAGGTGACAGTAGGGAGGGACAGAGCAGATGGCAGCTTGTTGTGAGACTGCAGATTTTATTTCTCTGACGTTAAAGCTTAAGTTATTTTCTTTGTTGAATTTCTCGGGGTTCATTTTTCTTCTATTTGGCAATATTTTTGTTAATAAATTCACATTCACCTACTCCGGCCTGCTGACCTGCTTTATTTGGAAAGTTTCCAGTGCCCAAATACTGTCATCTGCCCTGTTTATGAGGTGGCGGCACTACACTTTGTAAACGAAATGTAAATTTAGAAATACTACTCCTACTTTGAAAAAGTAGTTTGGAATAATCATTTTATTATTGTTAATATTACTTTAATGTTTGTCATTAACATTAAAACCCACACAGCTTGTGCAGACACCAGATCTCACAGGCAAAGTAAATAACTTCAGTCGTGCCTCTGTGTTTAAGAGACTTAGGTAATGCTGTCATAAAAATCAGATCCAGATCAAATAGATAGCTCCTGAAGTCCTGTAATCACTACAGGGTTATCTAGGACAGAACGTTTAAAAGCAAAAAATAACAATGTGAACGTAAAATAAATGAGAAAATGATACTGTAAACATAAACCGAGGATATGAGAACACTGAACTGAGATTTCAGTTCAGTCCTTTAGATTTTATTCTTTGCTTACAGTTTTTTCTGTTTGCCTTTTTCTCATTTACATTTTTGTCTCATTAACCATTTGGTTCTTTCCTTTACATGTTTGGTTATTTGATCATTTATAAGTTTTGTTTTCACATTCATGATTTTTTTATTTTGTTTGTTTTAATGTTATATTTAGTATTTTTCAAATATTATGGCCCTAAATTACCTTCAAGCATATCAAGCAAGTACAAATGTCCACCTTTATTGAAGTAGAAAAACAAAATCAAAACTTACAGGCTGCATGTCAATAAATAACCTGTTGCACTCCTCAGTGGTCTGAAGACTTTGCTCCTCTCTTGTAAATGGCTGGTGGAAACAGGCTGGGCCTTTTCTAGCAACCAAACAATTTGAGCATAATACATAGTGTTGCATTGACCTTTAAATAGTATGCTATATATCACAATTGATATTTCTGAAACAGTATTTTTGACTTTTCTGAAATACTATCCAGGGAGTCCTATGTAGAGGAGTAGTGATCTCATCTGTAGAATAAAAAACAAACAAAGAAATACATATAGATAAATACATATAAAGCACTCTTACTAGAGCTAAAGCTATCTTTGTAGCTGTAAGGTCTAAAAGTTAGCAGCCAATACTAGCCTAGTGTCCAACGGTTAGTTAATTCTACCCCTGAAATTTCCAAAAGTATCAGCTAATTTTGACAAAGCTGTTTTTCCCTCTTTCAGTACGAGTGCAATGCATGATGGTACTGCTTGGTTAGTGACCATCGGTTGTGTACTAGGCTGCTTTTCATCATGCATTGTGGGAAACTATGTGTCCACTATGTATTATACTATGTATAATAATTCTCACTATACATTCGGACAGCACAACAAAATGTCAAACTCACTATAGTGGACTGTATAGGGAGCAGTGAGTGATTTAGGACACAGCCATAATGTCCAAATTTTAGATCTTTAGCAGCTAATGCTAAGCCTTATGATGTGACATTGCACTGCTTGGCTTCATGCTAGTTTTGTTTTCTATAAGTTAGCAGCCAATACTACTGACATGTTTTCATTTTATGTTACTGTTTAATCTATAAGGCCAAAATTTGCATCTTATGTTACTGGCACTGTTTAATAAAGCTTAATGTAGCCTTGTAATGTCCAAAGGTTAGCAGCTATGCTAGCCATATTGTATTCAGAGATTAGGAAGAGTTACAGCTATCTTTGTAATTGTAATGTCTAAAAGTTAGCAACTAATGTCAAACATGAGCGTGTATGTGAGAACACAAATCTCATTATATGTCTTGCCAGATTTCCATCTTAATCTTTAGCAATGGAAACACTTTGTGTGACAGGATTGTTTGTGGTCAGCATTGTGTTTTGGTCTTTTGTTACAGTTACCATCACTATTTTTTGGTTTAATAGATACAGTTCTACTATAGCCTACTTTATTAGTTAATCTTTATTGGTTATTAAAAAATAATTTCCTTTCCTAACCACTGTCCCTTGACTTCAATGGAAAACATCCTGAGGTCAAGGAAAGATGTGAAGGAAAATTCATAAGGACTTAGGAAAAGACAACCGAAGCGCTGAGAGAATCTGACTGCATTTACACAATACACACACAATACAATACACACACTTACACAATACACACACGATACAATACACACACTTACACAATAGGCTTTTTTTTTTAAAACCAACTTTATTTATAGCACAAAAATACTCCTTTCCTAAGCACAAAAAGAAAACAAAGAGGATTGAAATGTTGAAGTGAAACAACACTTATTTATATATTATTTTTTTATGATGATAATATTGTTAATAAATACAATAGGCTTGTTCTTCAAGATGATTTTTTTTTTTTTTTTACTTATTTTGTACATTGTGTTTTATTTAAAAGTTTTGTCATGACAAATTGGCTAAATGTAAACAAACTACTAAAAACCCTATCTCCTCCTTCTCTTATCATCTTTCCTGAGTGTAGAGAACAACATTTACCACTGGACTGGTGAATGTTGCACCAATGTGACACTTGCATGTGCACACTCACCCGCATTCAGCTGCACATACCTCTCTGTTGAGCAGAAGAGGTTTGCCCTCATCATGTGATGACCTCTGAATCATCGATTACACACAAAATTACAGCACATGTGATACACTTTCCATCGCCCACATTGCTCATGCACAAGACCGTTGCAAGACTGCTGTGACGCTTTGTCCATTTGGACACAGTGCTATGGTGGAGAACCCTTAGCAGACAGGATTAGATGGTTCTGAATCTTAAAACTACTGCACCAAAGTTACTTGTATACACAGCAACATACAGTATAATGGGTCGAGACACTCTCATAACGGAGAATCCTGCACTTGGGGGAACGTATATAAATTTATCCAATCAAATGTGATTGCAGTCGACTGGCAAACCTGTACTTAGCCGTTGTCCTGCTGCTCATAGTAGCTAGTTGAGCAATATCATATCTTTGAGTTGTTCATTCAGATGTCAACTGGCAACATTTATTTTACATTTCCAAAAGCATATTCAGTTTCATTTGGAAATATGTCACTTAACAGAAACTATAGATGCTGCAGCTGCCATTTCTCTGTGACTTTGAGTATAGTATTGATTAAAATATTCTGATGGCACAAATTTCTGTATGTAAAACCCATTCTACCTGGGATTGACTTGCAGGGGAGGGAGGGTTACATGGATGGTAGAGCAGTCATGCTTTTTAAATCCTTTGCTCTGGCAATATAACACCATATTCAATAAATCTGGGTTAAATAACATTAAATAAGGGTATATGGCTGAAGTGAGTCAGTTTCAGGCACCTCCATATTACTAAATATAAAGTTGGATAAATCGGAGTGTTCCAAAAAATTATCCCGCAGTTGAAATTGTAACTTGGAAGTTGAGGTGAACGCTATTTACAAGTCAAAAACTCAGATAACTCCGAAAGCCCCTGTGACGTCATGGTAGTGTCCACTTGATGCAGGTCCAGTTGTGATCCTTTTCTGCTTTTTTATGTAGTTAAGTCAAGTCAATTCTATTTGTATAGCGCCAATTCACAACAGAAGTTATCTCAAGGCACTTTTCAAATAGAACAAGTCTAGACCTTCTCTTTATCCCCACCAAGACAGAGCACTTACCGACAGTGGCAAGGAAAGACTTCCTTTTAAGAGGCAGAAACTTCGAGGAGAACCGACCTCAGGGTGGGCGGTACCTGCCTCAACTGGTTGGGTTGGGGGAGAGAGAGAGAGAGAGAGAGAGACAGCGAGCAAGCGAGCGAGCGTGCAAGCAGAAGAGAAAGAGAGAGAGCAAGCGAGAGCGCAGAGGAACCATGCAATAAGTGTAATATTAATAATAGTGACAGTAGCAGCAGTAACAGCAAAAATAATATAATGGTAACTGTAATGCTCCTACTGATAAAAGTAATGATGAAAGCTACAATAATTATTATTAATTATAGTAAATTTAGCAGCAGGTGTTAAACAGGCTCATGGTGGTGGTAGGTGGTTTGCAGTTGCAGATCCAGACTCCATGCTCTGAATCATGGAAGTGAACTAAAAACAAACAAAACATGAATACCTCATGTCATCCAAGGTCTCTGTGTTAAACCCACATTTAATGGCTATAGAGCCACTTTGCCAGTAACTGCCAGCTGTTACAGTATTTTCAACACTCATATGATCAACTCTGTATTTCTACAACCATCTTGAGATGTCTGAAGGTGGATAGTGTTTCAGTGCTGTGAGAAAACCAGGTCTGGTGGTTCATGGTGCACAGCTAACTGCTGTAGCAAACGGCACTACAACAAATGAAGACTGAGAGGGATCTCACCCCAGCCCCAGTTAGTTCCCAGTGAGACCACACATGCAGAAAATAAACACTGTGCTGAAAGGTCATTTGGATCAAACCGTCTGCCAAATAATGTTAACATTCACAGTTTTTTATTTTCCAACAATTTTAAACGATAAGATCACATGTATACACACCATATATATTCTCACATTTTTATAAATATTAAAGGTCTTTGTGGGACTGACGAGAACTGTATGTCACATGTTAATTGGTCAAAAATGAAGATTATCAAATATGTTCTCTCACACACACACACACAAACACACACACACACACACACACACACACACACACACACACACACACACACACACACACACACACACACACACACACACACACACATACAGACACATACAGACACACACATAAAGAGCTAAAAAGTCCCATTCTTCAGTGTGAGAAGTCTGCCCTCTCTCTCTCCGTCTCTCAGCAGCAGGTCCACAGCTCTTTCTCTGGTCTTTTCTTGCTCAGGACCTTAAAGGACCCGCTGTGCATGAGAGCGTTTGCTGCTGAATGTTTCTTCTGTCGCTTCAGTTTGGCACCAACAGCCATGACGATGTCCTCCACCTTATCCCGCTGATATGACACCTCCATGTCACCTCGCTGTCCGTTCACACGTTTCAATGGCGGGTTCTTGGCGGACGTCTCGAAAAACATCATGCCGTGGACTTTGGCGAACCTCGTCGCCTGCTCCTGGCTCACCTGGCCTTCAGTCCTACTGGGGTCACGGAGGTCACTCTTATTACCCACCAGGAACCTGCGGGGAGAATAGGCAGCAGCAAGGGACAAATAATGAAGGAAGATGACATTAGGGTTACACAAAATAAGTAATATTGTTATAAGATGAAGAAACGTTTGATGCGATTAAATCAAAAACTGTCTCCTGTCTTTAGTGAGTAGCAGTACATACAGAAAGCTGATGCAGTTACCTGGGGATTTCCTGTCCAAGGGAGTTCTGCCTGCACTCCTCTATCCAGGAAATCAGTCCCCTGAAGCTGGCAGGGCAGGTGACATCGTAAACGAAGAGGACGGCGTGGGCGTTTCGATAGTAGTGCTGCACCATGGACTTACGGAAGCGCTCCTGTCCTGCCGTGTCCCACAGCTGGAGCTGATGGAGGAGGAGGGAAAATGACACATTAACATGTATGATCTTCTCACTGACTGGCACTGAGGAGGATGTGGGTAGAGGCAAAAACATGAGAAAGAGGAAATAAATGAGAAGGCACGGAGAGGAAAAGAAATCATGTGTTGAACAACCCCAAACCACACACCCACACACACACACACGCACACGCACACACACACGCACACACACACGCACACACACACACACTGAATCACCACTGAGAGGGAACAAAGAAAAGGAATAAACATGATCTGATAGTTAGAAAGTCAGATCTCTCTGCAAGACGGTTGAAAACAATGATAAACCATGTGACTCTAACATAATTGATACATTTAGCACATGAGCACAAAACGTATGGTGACAAATCCATGTTCCACGTTCCAACCTCGTGTTTGGACCTGACTTACTTTAGCCTTGATTTCTTAACCTTGAGACTTGAAATCAGAAAACCTTCAAGTGTTCACCTTGTAAACACTGCAGCTTTTACACAGCAGTCCTTGTGGAATATAGAAAAAGGGCCTTGCTTAATGCACACTGCTCAAACATCTGATCATTAGGTCTACGCTTTGAACTGCTTGGTCTCAGCTTTACTGTGGTTCTGAAAGGAACAATTTCAGATGCCATGTTATTTTTATTGTCAGCCTACAAAGACCTGGAGGATCTACAAATGACTTTGAATTTGTTTATGTTTATATGTGACCTGACTGACTTAAGACGTGTCCTGACTGAGTTGAGACTTGACTTGTGACTCCTCAAGGACTTGAGACTTGTTTTGACCGACTCGAGACTGAACTTGAGACATGCCGTCAAATCCTTAAGATTTGTCTTGAAAGACTTGACACTTTACTTGACACTTGATTGACTCAAGCCTTGACTTGAGACCTATCTTGACTGACATAAAGCTTTTGTTGAGCAACTCAAGACTTGTCTTGATTGACTTGAGACCTGAATTATACTTATACCAAAAGTCTCTAAAAAAGCTCTGGCAATATTGTCAGTCACTGTCCATTTAATAAAAACACAATATTTAACACTTCTGAACACCCTTTAAAACAGCCACTGACATTTTAGGATTTCTTACACGACACATTCGCATTGAACCAAAGACACGGACTGGTCTGTTCTCTTATTTGTTAAATGTACTGGAAACAAAGCTTGAAAACTCCTCTACCCTGAAGTTACAAACAAATCTGCAGTCACCCCTCACAGACACTTCCTCTGTCATGTGGTCGTTTCAAAACACTCAGGAATCAGCATGAACTATCTAACACCCACAAATTTGATATAAAATCATCAGAGGCCTTTATCATGTTTATGTGATGCAGCTCAAGTGAAACGTCACACACCTTGCAGCTACAGGATCAGTTATAAATCATCTTGAATTAGATGCATTTATGAATCTGTTGATGTGGAGTCAGAGCTCACTAAAATCAAGCATGTAATCCTCAGTGATTTCCAGGCTGTGTTAGTTCTGCAAACACAAGCAGCTCTGCTGATTTTCTGCCATCCGGAGAATCTCAGGGTCAGTTTGAGACAAATAAGTCTGTGTTGTTTCAGCAGAGCTTCACTGCAGTGTAGGACAGTAGTACAGCCTCTTAGAATATTGACAGCTAACAGAGGAGATAAAGGTGCAGTATAAAACATGATAAAGACACTGTTTAAAAAAGTTAATTCTTTAAGAACCTGTAGGAATCTGTGTGATGTCCTCTTTCACAACGAAGCTCCTGGTGGTTTAGTGGTTTCTGTTTTGTCTGTGCAGACTTATTCCCTAGTTAGACTGAGCCCACTGACGAGCACTGAAATTGTTGCAAAAAGTACCAAAATAAAACCTACAAGTGGCTGGTTTTAATAGGCACTTAGTCATCGAAGTTTTCAAAATAAAAGAACTGCTTGGTTGTGCGTAAAAACAGTTGCTTGCTTCAGACTTGCACACAGATCTCCTGACACTTGGTTCATTAATTTGCTTTAGGCAATGAAGAAACTTCATCGATTACCTTAATTTTTTCTCCATCAATGTCCAGCAATCTCTCACGGAAGTCCACCCCAATGGTTGCCTCCACTCTGTCGGGAAACTGCCCGGCGCACAGTCGGTGTGTGAGGCAGGTCTTCCCCACACCGGAGTCTCCAATTACTAGTACTTTAAAGGTCCGACAGCGGGTTAGCAGTGAGGACACACTGCCCAAGGAGTTGGACAACTCCAGAGATGACTCCATTGTACGAGCTGTTCACAGTGATTTCTGTCGAAGACTAAGTGCAAAAACGCCCCTGGCGTCAAACGCTGTCTCCAAGAGAGGGTTTCCAAAGTTTCACACTGCGGTCGAGCCAACCGTCATTCACGTTTACGTGGTCAAACCAGACGCACGTGTGTTTGGAGTGCGCGATCGGTCTGACATTTACGGTAATCGCAATGAACCAGCCCTAGGGAACTAGTGGAAACACACAATGTACATAAAAAGTTACTTTCACATTCTTACATGGGATGTTTTATTTCCAATATACAGATTAAGCGACAGAAGAATGTGTGTTAATTGAAAGATGAAAGAAAACCCATATGTTGGAGTCAAATACAATTAATCCAATCACCCTCTTCCTAAATTAGTTCCTCTGACATAACTTGCACAAATATGGATGCACACGAAGATAAATCCCAGAGACAATTCAAAATGATCTCATGTTTGTATTTATTACACATAGTCAGTGGAAATGTGATAACAGCCCAAACAAGCAAGTTCACTTAGAACCAAATGGAGACTCATCTGTTTCACTTGTGTTTAATTCACATCAAACTTCAAATAACAGTGTTGGTTTAAACTGTACATAGTGCAAATTTTATTTACCTGTGTTGTATAAGATTTACAAATGTAAATGAGCCTTTGTGAAGTGAAGAAAAACTAGACTTGTATCTGTATATTTGTGCCCAACAAACTCAATTCACATTTGTTGCTGTGACCAGATTCATACTGCTGGATCTCTCAAGTAAAAAACTTAATTTGCACATTTGTGGATCTGAATTTGTGCATGTGTCAGTTGGATCCTGTAAACATGGAGAACATGTATCTGACTGCGGGCTGGGAGCAGCTGAGAGTGTCTCCTCTCTGCCCTCTAGTGGCACCAGCAGCTTCTTCTCTGCTGCAGCTGCTGATCTGGCTCCTTTCAGTTGATGCGGCTTCACCCTGTTCATCATGACATCATCATGTGACTGTTGTTTTAGTTTGTAACGATCACAACCTTTAAATGTGGTGAATAGAAAATACAAAAGTATGACTAAAATGACTGATTTTTAAAAACAGTCAAAAATATTTTGTAAAGCAGGACAGATGTAACTTGTGACTTCTACCTCTGCCACATGAAACACACTGTATGCGATCCTATACAGAAGCCCATTTCTGCCACATGAAGATAGAAAGAAAATTCCACCGTTTATTTTCCTATGTTAACTGACGCTCATTAATTATTGAGTACAATCAACTTGTGAAATATCATTTATTTATGATGAAAACAAAACATTGAATTGTACTCCCTTGCAATATGAGACCAACTGTCTGAAGGCTCCTGTGCAGGTGGTGTTGATCAAATAAAAAATGGAATGTTTGACATGATAAATTATTAATATTGACATTAATATTTTTGACATGATAAATTATTCATATGTAATGTCTTGTGGGAGAAACAATCATTGTTCTTGCTGGAAATGTCAAGTCAAATTCATCAATGAATAAATGTATGCTTATGTATTTTGGTATTTTTTTTTATTGTTTTTAGATTAAGGTTTGGGGGTTGGGAGGTGGTTATTTACCCAACGTTCTCCCATGAGCAACAATGTGATGACAGTGGCAGGGAAAAACTCCCTTTAACAGACAGAAACCTTGGGCAGAACCAGGCTCATGGGGGGCGGCCCCTGCCAGTTGTCAGTACTTTAGCTGGACCTGGGAAGTTCCTGCAGGCTGTGGTCTTGTCAGTATTTATAGGCTTTTCCTTGGTAGTTTTTGTAGCCTGGCTTTTGGTAGTTGTATCCAGTACATTGGTAGTTATAGAAGCCTGAATATTGGTAATTACTGTATCCAGGACGCTGCTGGTAATTGTATCCACGACTTTGGTCTGTACTGTAGCCAGGATTTCGTTGTTTATTGTAGGCTGGTCTTTGTTTTCTGTTGCAGCCTGGACCTTGGTAGATAAAGCAGCCTGGACTTTCCTCTACATAGACGGCTGGGGGCAATATCTTTGGCACTGGCACGGTTTTAAATTCCACTGTAGTCTGTGTTTCAGTGGTCACAGCACTTGATATAGCTGCTTCCATTTTCACCATAGCCTGTGATTTGTTTGTCTCTACAGACTGTGTTTCAGTTGACATAGCTGTATTGACAACTTCCCTCCGGGAACACTGGACAAATTAATTTATAATCTAAATTACTTTACGTTATGTTGTTATTTGTTCCACTTGTGTCCTTGCTGAGATTTCTGTTCTCACTTGCTCAATGTGTAAATTAATCAAGTAACAGTAATTCTGCTGTGTGCAAAGTCGTAACCAGTTTATATATGAAAAGGTTCCATCAGAGATCAAAGGCACAGGAATAAAACAATTATTAAATAAAGGGGGAAATGGAGGCTCTCTGGATGTTCAATTTTTTCCAAAAATTTTAAATTAAAAAGAAACCATTAGTTTTATTAGTACTTTGATAGTATATAATCTATTAATGATAATAAGTTAGCAATTTCGTGTGGAGAAAAATATCTGATGTTTAAATAACATTTTAGTGCCCACAAGTTCGTCCTTGATGAGAAACTTCTCTCACTTCCACCATCAAATCACCGTATTTCTGCTTAAATCATCACTATTTCAAAGGTGAAAGTTTCACTGCACAATACTTTCATGCCACTAATATCTTTATGAAGAACATTTTTCGACCCTTCAACCAGTAAACCTGTGAAACTTAAACCACTAAGTCAATGTCCGTGTCCACAGCAGCAGGAAGAGAGCGGGGGAGAGAGATGGTCGTTACAAAGACCAGTCAGACTTTATCAGAGAATAAATGCACTGAGGACCAGTTAGCTGTTATACATTATATTTGGCGGCTTTGGTGATAACACAGTAGCTTGACCTGCTTCTGCCATTAACCCTGCAGCATGCCTCATCCAGGACTACAGGATTCGGAAGATGGTAAGTCTGAAATGGCCTCTTAACTCCTCTCATATGTATATAGGCTAATCATATTTATTATCTACAAAAATTATCTGCTATTTTGGTTAAGCTTTCTGTTTTAGTTGTCCATAAAGAGAAATGTCTTCTGGATGTACAGTCTACAAAAACTTATGTAAACTGAAATTAGACCATTGTGTTGGTTTATAATCAGCTGATCTTTTAGGGGACAACTGTAGCCACCCACCACTTTGTTCATCTCATCACAGGAATTATTTTGAATCAGGAATAAAGCTAATGGCAACGACACAGGAATCCAAATCGTACACATAGAGCAGCTGCAGGCAAGTCAGAAACAAGAACCCCGACCAGGGATGTCCACTACAACATACTGCACTGCGCCACATTCAGTGTATCATACCAACTGTAACAAATGTTGTGAAATTTATTTGCGACATTGTGATGACGCAATGTAAATGTGACACTGTTTTCACCCTTGAGTAAAGCCATCTGGGCTCGCACCAGAAAGATAGAGTGTTATAAAGATCAAAGGTTGACCATTAGTCATAAACAGTCAGTGCGAAGATGAGGAAGACAAGGGGAGAACACTATCTAAGAACAAAAACTGTTGTTGTTCTATTGTTGTTATACTGTAATAAAGTGTTCCTCATTTGTTGGATTGACAGAGGCAATGCCCCTGAGGATCATGCTTTTTGGGAAGAGTGGAGCAGGCAAGAGCTTGAGTGGGAACACAATCCTCTGTAGACAGGCATTTGAATCAGGCATGAAGCTGACGAGAGTCACTCAACATTGTGAAAAGAAAGTTGTGATAGTTGAGAATGTGCCTGTTACCGTGATCGACACACCGGGGATCTTTGCGAAAGATGGTGACCAGAAGACATTTATTAGAGAGATTCTACAGTCTGTCAAACTCCAGGAACCAGGACCTCACGCCTTCGTATATGTAGTCCCTTCAGGAAGGAAGGATGACTCAGGAAGATCAACATACCTACAATCTGATGGAAACAATGTTTGGCCCAAGAGTGTGGGACTACGCCATCGTGCTGTTCGCCCATGGGGATTGCCTGCAAGGAAAAACAATAAATGACATTATCACTGAGAGTAATGACAACCTCCGCGACTTCATATGCAAGTGTAATGGCGGCTTCCATGTCTTCAACAGCAAAAACCCAGCGCACCTGGACCAGGTGACAAGCTTCCTGGCAAAGATCCAAACCCTGGTGGCTCTGAATGGAGGGAAACATTACCACAAAGGGTTGTATCCTGCACAAGAAAGGGAGATCAGGGAAAGACAAGAGAGCATCCTGAAGGAGAGAGATGAGGAAAATCACCAACCAGGAGGAGCAGCTGGAGGAGTGTTACATCGGGGACGAGCTGGAGATGATGAAGAAGGGGCTGTGGAGAAAAGAGGAGAAGGCAGCAAGGCTGACCGCAGAGAAGCAGACGTTTGTGTTCGTCATCCGGCATTTGTGGGGCTGATTGTAGTAATGATCATTTTTTCTTGGATTTTCTTTAAGGGGGTTCAAACATTTTCCACCATAACTTTCTAAGAAACTGAATAAGTGTGCTTTGAGATATTTAGTAATTAGCCATTAGTAATAAGCTATTACTCAATGCTATGCTGGATGTTCATTGAATGTAACAGATTTCATTTTAAAATATGTCTCTATCTGCCTATAATCAGAAAATAAATATTGTATTTTTAATCTTATACCTTTCTTGCTCCCTCGTGATTAAGACTTAATCATCTTGTTGTAATCTTGTAGTAATATCCAACAGTGTGTCTAGCCTTGACCTTCAGACTCCACCTCTGCAAAGCTGCAGGACATGGTCATCTCTTTCTGTTTGCTCACACTTAATGAGAGCTTTTCATTTGGATTTAGACATTTAAAGTGATATTTAAAATTTTCCTCTTGTTATATTCTAATTGATCAGAGATTGAACCATGTGATATTTTGGCTCGTTCTTTTATTACAGTTTAAATTGGTTTGAAGACATGTATTTGTTTGTTACATCTTAAGCATATTTACTTATAGTTCATTCTAGCCTCTAACTAATTTAATGTTC